GACTTGGGCTGAGTTGACTTGGGGTTGAGTTGACCAGGAAGCACTTTTTAGGATGAAAGATGCAATATCTTGCATGGGGTGAAGATGGCTCTAGGCTACCTTTGTTAGTCATATGAGAAAAGCTTGGTTTAGTTCAAATGATATCAAAAGCATTACGTCAACTTTCAAATAATTAATTCCATGAAAACTGAAAATATCGAAATAAATACTTCCTGTCCGCCATCTTAAATGCGAAGGTGACGGCCGTAACCTTCGCTTGATACTTACCAGTGATAATGTACATGTAGATCTGACACTTCTTTACCTCTTGTTCGAACAGTAAGCTTCGAGTTGAATGTGTTTCAGTATTTAATCCTTGTTATCCGGAATGAATGGAAACATAAGAATTGATATTTTTCATTGTTGAATGGGATACAACATTTGAATTTCCACACAAAAACTTATGGAATCTTACGTTAATTAGCTCATATATTACACTTCATAAATTCTAAGGAATTGTCACCGTACAGCAGATGCGTCACCGTACAGATCTGATCTTTTTTAAATATATACAGTGAATGAATCTTCATCTGTTTTAAAATGTGTAGATAACAAATACATATTCTCATAAAAATTATCCATACTCTCAGACGACAGGGAAAATAATAACCAAACAAAAAGTGAGACAACATTTTTCTTTCGAGTCGACTATGTGGGCCGATCCAGTCAGAAAAAATCCGAGCAGTGCTCGAAAAACTTTTATCATAATTAGAAAGTTGAAACCATTTCTAAGAGAATGTTGTTTTTATTACACCCGAAATCGTATTTATTTTCATCTAATTAATTTTTCAAACCCTCATTACTCTGTTAATTATCGTCAGCGTACAAAAATTTGTACTACTGTATTTTTTGACGCTGTACGGTGACGCTTGCTTACGCAATGGTTAGGTGTGTAATCACGGTCCTGAAGTCCGTGGTTTTATTGGCTAATTCAAATCGGATGCGGTAAAAAACCGGACGCCAATTTGCGAACGTTCCTGGTATTACGTTCGCCCTTGGTTAAAGCAGTAGATTTATGTTTACTGAGAATAAATAAGTAGATGCTTTAGTGCATAAATATAAAACAAAAATGTCAAATATTTAACTTGAGAAAGTGAAACACTATTTACCGTAAATACACGTAAATACTCTCCATTGGGCCACCTTTAAATGTAGTGAGCTATATGAATAGAGATGCAAACCAACAACAAACAATAATAAAAGAACACCAGTCCTGTTATTTTGGGACACCCTGTATGAATAACTGTCGATTTGAAAATATCATTAATTTCCGTTGCTTTCATTCAAGCCTCTTCTTATTCTATTGTCAATCCCAAATTTATTTAGTATCCGGTCACTATCAAAACGGCATTATAAACCCCAACTTATTATACTACTGTTTTCCCTGTGAAATATGAAGGAATAAAAATCGTATTGAATCGTATTACATGAAAAAATCGTATTGTCCCCGGAAAAATCGTATTGGAGCGTATTACATGAGAAATTGTATTGTCCCCGGGGAGAAATCATATGGGTTTTATTCCTCGGAAAATATTATATGTGCATAATGTTTGCATTATCCAAATGTAACATTTTAGAGGGATGCATTATGGAATAAATAGGTTATTTCTGGTTGGGATTGTCCTCCGTACCAATGTTCTCTGTATTGCTACGGAGATGAACAATGGGGACAATCTCAGAAGCAATACAGATTGGTACATCACAAGAACTGCCAAATCAGAGGGCTTCATTTGACAGATCATACGATAATATTTTGTATTATACTGAATAATATTGTATTATAGTTTATTCCATAATACTACTGTTTTCCCAGGGAAATATGAAGGAATAAAAATCGAATTGAATCGTATTACATGAAAAAATCGTATTGTCCCCGGAAAAAATCGTATTGGAGCGTATTACATAAGAAATCGTATTGACCCCGGGGAAAAAATCATATGGGTTTTATTCCTCGGAAAATATTATATTGGCCTTAGGCAATATGATATTTACCGAGGGAGCACAAACAATGTGCACAATGTTTGCATTATCCAAAGAGGGATGTCTTATGGAATAAATAGGTTATTTCTGGTTGGGATTGAAAATGGGTTTTATTCCTAGAAAAATATGATATGGACCTTGGGCAATATGATATTGACACTCGGTCGCTGCGGTCCCTCGGTCAATATTATATTACCCTTCGGTCAATATCATATTGTCCCTCGGAATAAAACCCATATTCAATCCCTCCCAGTAAATAACCTTTATATATGATATTCAGGGCCGTCACCAGGATCAACATTTTAGAGAGGCAAGTTTTGAAACGAAATGAACAATCTGTTCCCCTCTATCAACCTCTCTGACCTACCAATAAGAAAGAATATTGGCCGAACAAAAAATGAAATGAGCCGAAATTATTTTTAAGATGGGTAATAGGCCGCGAGTTGTATTGTTCAAAGTTTATATGCTGATCCCTACGGACAAAGGAGAGGAGCTCTGCTTGAGAAGACATTTTTAGGACAGCTGAATTTCAAAATGGCAGCCATTTTTGTGAAAACGTAATAGCTTATTTGATTACTCAAATACAAGCGGACGGTTTTGGTTCAAATTTTATTTTATGATGCCTATATAGAGGAAAAAGGGTTCTGCCCAAGAAAATTTCAAGATGGCCGCTTTTTATCAAAATGACCGGCATTTGTCGAAATTTTCAAGATGGCATCTGAATTTCAAAATGGCCACTTTTTTAATAGATAACTCAAAAAAGTGTGGATATATGCTACAAAGGAGCTCTGAATCACTGCTACTTATTAAAACATATATTGTTTGATGGGTGGGATTTGCTACTCCGTAGAGTTGTTTTTCTAGTTTATTCTAGTTTATTTCATTATATTATATCATATTATATTATACAACATTACAATAAATTACAAATTCCAGAAATGTGTCCCTGTGGCATTTCACTAAACGAGTCATGTAAAACGTCTTAAAAGAACCACATATGGTAAATGGACATCGTCGATTGATTAGTTTTCAATGACCATGGACATTTATGGTTAAAATGAAGTGAGTGAACATGGACATGTATTTGTAATCCAATTCACATTGATTTAGTAGTAGATTTACTATGAATTTATTCGTAAAGAAATAATCTCGATGAGAACTTTTCAAATATAGCGTTCACCCAAAGTCAACTGAAGCAGAGATATGTACACATCAGCGATGCCAATGTCAATGAAGTTAAAGAATACCCATAAACTCCGAACAAGACATATGTTTTTTATAATTTAGTCAGAAAACATATTTGTTACTTCCAGGATTTAGTCAAACATGCCTATACTGTCTGATTAATTCGAGTTTTATATAAATTCAAATGCGTTGCTCCTTGACCCGAAATGCAAATGTCATAATTCAACTACGTCATCAATCACCCAAACTCTACTAAGGGCATTAATCTCAGTGCCGACATATCCACTATAGCTGAACTGAAATGAAAACAGAGTCTATCTGACATATTAGCTAAAAATGGGGCAAACAAGGGAATTATCTTCTATGCAACTTGAGATCGATGGCCAACCATTCTTCGGTACATGCATACTACTAATGACCTTTTTCTATTATTTGCAACTTGGTAATAGTTCGATTTATGAATGTAACTCAGTTATAACTCAAAAATCTAAATGAATCAACCAGGTGGTATCGTATTGAAAATACCATCTGGAGTATGGTAAGTGATTTTAGACGGTCATATATTTCACCATGAGTATTTTCTGGGCATAAATACAGTGGTTTTGATTAAAACAATATGTTTTCTTTCAAGTGAAGTCCCCATGAAAAGATCATTCTACAAGAGGTTTAAACAGAATGGTATTGGAAGTCTAGTTTTGAAGATATCAATTTTTGATGACCAAATTTATGCTGAAAACAATGGATAGCACGAGTTTTCCCTATGGGAAAATAACATGGGGTATGTGCTTTTTAACTTTAACGCATTTCAATATCTATCTTCTTTTCAGAAATTGTTAATATACAGGGTGTCCCGAGAGTATTGGGCCCCACCTAGGCAGACATATACCAGTGTTGTCATAGTAAGTGTCATATATCATTTTAAAGGTTATCCAAAGTTACATTGATTTGCCTGGTTCAACTCTCAAATGTGAAAAAATTACAGGCATTTCAAAATTTAGTGTTTGGTCAAAATTAGGTTCAATTTTACACCAAATCACTAGTTAATGTGTCCTCCCAGGCCATCTTAACAGCAGCATTTCTTTTTGGGTCGGATGGATATTGAGTTGGAAAAAGAGAATGGTGAGGGTAGATACTCCATGGAAACTATTCTAAAAGGTTCTAAGAGGATTATAAAATTCCACACCCCTATTTGAAGGGCTTTTAAGGCCATCTCTGAAAATAATTGCTGCTGTTAACATGGCCAAGTGGGGACACATTGACTAGTAATGTGGTGTAAAATTGAACTTAATTTTGACAAAACACTAAATTTTGAAATGCCTGTAATTTTTTCAAATTTGAGAGTTGAACCATGATACTTGGCAAATCAATGTAACTTTGGATGAACTTTAAAATGATATATGACACATACTATGACGACACTGGTATGTGTCTGCCTAGGTGGGGCCTCATACTTTCGGGACACCCTGTAGTGTAGATGAGACTTTCGATATGTTTAAATTGAGAAAAACAAGATCCTCTTTTAAGAAAATGAGCCTAACATTTTTTTAAAGTGCCAAGGTGGGGCCCTAATCAGAGAGTTGAATTGATATTTTACTATCATGGGGACTTCACTGGAAAGAAAACATATTGTTTTTATAAAAAACACTGTATTTATGGCCAGAAAGTAATCCCGGTGAAAGATACGACTTTCTAAAATCATTTGCTATATAATAATAATACTGCACATGGACCTTTGAGGTAGATGAGTTAGTTACACAGAAGATGAACAACATGGTGTGGTTATGTTGTTGTTTTAGGATGCCTCTCCAATGAATTTGCTTGCAACGAAACATACAGCGCCACTCAGTGTATTGATGTTATTAGAAGATGTGATCGGAAAGAGGACTGCAACAACGGAGCTGACGAACTTGAATGCGGTAATGTCATGATAAAGTGATGATGATAGATTGGTTTCAGGCCCGTGAGACACTTTTCTCCAAGGGGGTGCGGTTTTTACTAAAGAGAATATAAAATTGTCAATTTTTTGCAGCGTAAATCAAATCACATAAGTCAGAGGGGGGGGGGGGTCGGTTACTCCCTATATCGGTTTGGCATTAACAAATGCAACTTAAAAACGTTCCAATTGTTTTGTGGGGGGTGGCCCACTCCCCCTAGAAATTTTTACAATTTTAAGATGCTATTTGGTGCATTCTGGGCACTTTCAAAGTGTATGAGTCTATAAGAAAAATGTGATTTTTTTTCAAATTCTTTTGGGGGTGTCAAAAAGGATGAGAGGGTGAAGTGGGGTGGGGTGCCAGAGGGGAAGCAAGTGTTTGTCCCCCAGAAACATTGACCATATCAAGGTGCTATTTGATGATGTCTGGGCACTTAAAAATGTCTGAGACAATACATGAAATTCAGAATATTTTCTTTTGTTTTGTGGGGGATGTGAGGGGTGACTCTCCTAGAAAGTTTTACAATTTAAAGATGATATTAGGTGCTTCTGGGCACTTTTAAAGTGTATTAGTCAATAGAAACATTGAAAAACAATCATAATTTTTTTTTCAAATTTTGAGGGTGTCAAATGTGAGGGAGGGGTGCTAGAGGGGGAGGTTGGGTTGGGGTGCCAGAGGGGGAGCAAGTCTTTGTCCCACATATCTGTCCCCCAGAAACATTTACAACATCAAGGTGCTAGTCGATGAAGTCTGGGCACTTTAAAAGTGTCTGTGCCTAAAAGTGCCTATTTCCCAAGAAAATTTTACAATTTTAAGATGCTATTTGGTGCTTTCTGGGCACTTTCAAAGTGTATGAGTCAATAAAAAATTTGAAAAATCTTAATTTCTTTTTCAATTTTTTTTTTGGGGGGGGGGGGTGTCAGAGGGGGAGGTGGAGTGGGGATGCCAGAGAGCGAGTAAGTGTTAGTCTCCCAGAATCATTAACTATATCAAGGAGCTATTTGATGATGTCTGGGCAATTAAAAAGTGTCTGAGACAATACATAAAACAAATTCAGAGTTTTTCCATTGTTTTGTTTGGGGTGTGAGGGGTGGCCCACTCCCCCTAGAAATTTTTTCAATTTTAAGACGCTATTTGGTGCTTTCTGGGCACTTTCAAAGTGTATGAGTCAATTAAAGAATTTGAGAAAATCACAACTTTTATCCATTTTTTGGGGGGGGGGTCAAGGGGGGGGGGCGCCAGAGGGCAGAGGGGGAGGTGGTGTGGGGATGCAAGTGCAAGATACAAGAGGGGGAGCAAGTATTAGTCCCCTATAAACACTAACCGTATCAAGGAGCTATTTGATGATGTCTGTGCACTTTAAAAGTGTCTGAGACAAAACACAAAAATAAATTTAGAACTTTTCCATTGTTTTGTGGGGGGTGTGAGGGGTGGCCAATACCCCTAGAAAATTTCACAATTTTAAGATGCTATTTAGTGCTTTCTGGGTACTTTCAAAGTGTATGAGTCAATGAAAATAAATTACAAAAAAATATTTTTCCAAAAAAAACTTTTTTCAAATTTTTTTTTTTTTTTAATTTTTTTGGGGTGTGCCAAAGGGGGTAGCGGTCGCACCCATCGCACCCCCCCCATCTGATCCCCCATTTAAAGATATGAAATGAATATTTTTCAAGGAAACCTTTTGTAAGGGTCAAGTACACTTCTGTTTATGTCTGTCCAGATCATGGATTGTCAACTTCACAACCATTCAATACTTAGCATCAACATGTGTATTGTTATTTCCTTTGATATATTTATAGATTTTTATTCTTTGAACTATGGACTTGATCAGCTTATCGGTTCCATTAGTTTTGCTAGAATTTAAGAAACCTTCGGCAGTTTCTTGGTTGTATAATGCAATGCAATTATATGACATGCGATGACAGTGGTGAACTTACATAGAATCTGAGACTAACATAATTATGATGGTCTCAGATAGAATGCAATGACTTACAGAATCTCGTTTTCCGCGAAAATGGCCTTTTCACGTTCCTCGCATGGTTTCTCCTTCACGTGTATTATCTCATGGAAATGGTAAACAAAATCAAACATTGCCTGAAGAGCAGTTTTAGCTATGGCCAAACTGCCACATTATCTATCTGCCTTAAAACCTCTGTCGATACGATTCCTGTTTTAAGTTATTTTTGTTAAATATCAACTTCTGGTTCAAAAGCTTGCCTATTTTAAAAATGGTCACTGTAAAGAGTAGGGTTTCAAAAAATCCGCAAAAATCATATCCGTTTTTTTTTATTTTCAGCCATTTTAGGTAACATTGATTTGTCTATCTGTCTCGCGAAGTCCACTTTTGACCATTTGCCTTAAAATCTCTGTCGATACGGTTCCTGTTTTGAGTTATTTTTGTTCAACGTTAATATAGAAAACTTCCCTATGACTCCTGGTTCAAAGGTCGCCTTTGTTTCGCGAAATTCACTCTTGGCCCATTTCCTAGCTTTACAAATAGTTTCAGGTGTCCTGCATTGTAAAAAGTCATGTCACTGTATAGAGTAGTAACATGGAATAATTTTGTTACAAAAAATCGGCAAAAAGTTATATCCATTTTTTTCAGCCATTTTAGTTAACATTGATTTGTCCATCTGTCCCGAGAAATCCACTTTTGAACCATTTGCCTTAAAACCTCTGTCGATAGGCTTCCCGTTTTATGTTATTTTTGTTCAACATCAATACAGAAAACTCTCCTATGACTCCTGGTTCAAAAGCTTGCCCATTTTCAAAATGGTCGCCATTGTTGTCTCGTGAAATTCACTTTTGGCCCATTTCCTAGCTTTACAAATAATTCCAAGTGTCTTGCATTGTAAAAAGTCATGTCTCTGTAAAGAGTAGTTGGATGAAATAATTTTGTTACAAAAAATGGCAAAAAATATATCAATTGCAACACCATACACCATGTGAGCCTAGTACCCACGGTACAATTTATTCTGGCGCTATAGCGAAAAATTGTTGTTGCAAACAGTAGAAATATACATTTGTTTCACATTCGCACGCATTCCAATTGCCAAATGAATTTTTTTAATTGATTGAACTTCAGAAAAAGGAATTCTTATGGGAATAGCACTATAACATTATTCATTACATATACAAGGAATTAATTGAAATGCATTTGTTAGACCATATATCAATAAATGAAAATGTTAATCCAATAATTATATTTCGGCCTTACAGCATTACATTCGGGTTAAAAAGTTTTAATCCCCAAATGCTGGCAATGTTTGCTGTTATATAATGCCTTGGTCACATATGCTCCGATCCATCGGCCGGCGCCCGGCCGATTGAGTGTTTTGTTCAATATTGTATTCAATTTTGAAGAAAATACTCAATCGGCCGGGCGCCGTAGTGAAAATCGGAGCAAATGTGACCAAGGCATAACCTACATGCTTTCAAAAGCGTTTCAGCTCGATTGATTCCGCACTCAATTGCAAGACGTGATATTATACCCTTCGCAAAATTGTTGAGAATAGCCCCAATCATGCAATAATTGGCTTATCATAACAGCGAATAACTCGCAAACTGTTTCAACCGCACACGTCATGTCACGTGGCGTAAAATTTTTGCCACGAAAACAGACTCGTGCTGACTTTATATCTCCGATAACATGATAAAATGAACTTTTGGAATTGTTAATGGTTCACCATCTTTAAGTGTGGCCTTCATACAGTAAGATAGCATAAATATATCTAAATCGAGTAAAATGGTGAGTGCAACTTTAAGTCTTTGGCTTAAATTCTTTTCACACATTGCAAAATATTTTCTACGAAATCACCTAAAAGATACGAAATCCCTAAAAGACCATACTTTCAGTGAAACCTTTTGCAAGGGTAGAGTTGGCCAAGGATCAATTTTAAGCTGTCACTTTTGAAACAATTCAACGAATGTTCTTTGGTGCTTTAATGGTGATATAATGCACTGCAGTTATATGAAATATGATATTAAATATAAGTCCGAAGGCTGGAATCGGTCACACCTTGCCTAGCTACATGTATGTGTGAATTCTTATATTAAAGATACCTACACATGTCCAACCACTCACAGCAAATGTGGAAACCACTTCTGTATTCCAAGGGAGGCCTGGTGCAATTTCATCGATGATTGTGGAGACTTCTCTGATGAATCCAAATGCGGTAAGCAAAGGATTGGGCGTGTTATGTAGAATGTTTTTAAGATAAGCAAAGGATTGGGCGTGTTATGTAGAATGTTTTCAAGATAAGCAAAGGATTGAGCGTGTTATGTAGAATGTTTTTAAGATAAGCAAAGGATTGGGCGTGTTATGTAGAATGTTTTCAAGATAAGCAAAGGATTGGGCGTGTTATGTAGAATGTTTTCAAGATAAGCAAAGGATTGGGCGTGTTATGTAGATTGTTTTCAAGATAAGCAAAGGATTGAGCGTGTTATGTAGACTGTTTTCAAGAAAAGCAAAGGGTTGGGCGTGTTATGTAGAATGTTTTCAAGATAAGCAAAGGATTGACCGTGTTATGTAGAATGTTTTCAAGACAAGCAAAGGATTGGGCGTGTTATGAAGATTGTTTTTAAGATAAGCAAAGGATTGGGCGTGTTATGTAGAATGTTTTCAAGATAAGCAAAGGATTGAGCGTGTTATGTAGACTGTTTTCAAGAAAAGCAAAGGGTTGGCCGTGTTATGTAGAATGTTTTCAAGATAAGCAAAGGATTGACCGTGTTATGTAGAATGTTTTCAAGACAAGCAAAGGATTGGGCGTGTTATGTAGAATGTTTTTAAGATAAGCAAAGGATTGGGCGTGTTATGTAGAATGTTTTCAAGATAAGCAAAGGATTGGGCGTGTTATGTAGAATGTTTTCAAGATAAGCAAAGGATTGGGCGTGTTATGTAGATTGTTTTCAAGATAAGCAAAGGATTGAGCGTGTTATGTAGACTGTTTTCAAGAAAAGCAAAGGGTTGGGCGTGTTATGTAGAATGTTTTCAAGATAAGCAAAGGATTGACCGTGTTATGTAGAATGTTTTCAAGACAAGCAAAGGATTGGGCGTGTTATGAAGAATGCTTTCAAGATAAGCAAAGGATTGGGCGTGTTATGTAGAATGTTTTCAAGATAAGCAAAGGATTGAGCGTGTTATGTAGACTGTTTTCAAGAAAAGCAAAGGGTTGAGCGTGTTATGTAGACTGTTTTCAAGATAAACAAAGGATTGGGCGTGTTATGTAGAATGCTTTCAAGATGCAACATCGCGTGCTTTACAAAATATATGTTGACATTTTAAAACTTTCAACATAATACCATATGCGTCTTTTGATATTTTGGAAGACACAATTTATCTTAACGTTTTGATTTTTGATGCAAGTATAATATATATGATAAAGGTTGAAAAAGCTCTGAAGATCTGAATTGTTAAGAAAATATAAAAACATGGGATGTCATCAAAAAATTTGTCCACGATGGGCGAATTACCCACCCCATTTAATGAGTATACCATTATGGGGGTAACATTTAGTTCTGTTTGAAGTCCAATAACGCCAGGAGTAAAAGCCATTGGAAACAGCGAAAGAGTATCATGCTCTAATGGTGACATGATAATATTTATGTGGTTTCAGTACCCTTATAAAAAATTCAACCTTGAAAGTCCGAATTTAAATCGTTTCTATCAATCATTGAATACTGATTGTTTCAACTACTAAGATCAAAGGAAAAACCATCGTACAATGATAAGCAATCATTGTGCAACCATTGGGTTCAACCAAGTGAAGTCAACTCTTTTTCAATGACTGTGCAACCGTTTCTATACAATAATTTTATCTGCAACCATTGTAAACTGCAACCATTTCACATTAAAATGCAAATGGTTGCAATATGTTTTGTTCGATGAATACATATTTCAACCCCTGCAACCATCCTGAATTAGTATTGTTCCAAAAAATTATCATCTTACCTGAATCTACCTCTATTCAACAACAGTATATTAGGATATTTTTTCTGCATACATACATGTATGTTTATCATAGTATATTCAGATATTAAGTATGTTTGTTTTTGCAGTATGGATTTAGGAATGCGATACATACCAGACTAGTTTTTCACTCAATGGCATTTGATAATGATGTATCTTTAATGTTAATAATTATGAAAAGAATTGAGCAAAATTCCAATTTGGTAAGAAATTGACCAAGAAAAATCTTAAGATTTCCTTTAAACTTAACAAAATCACAAGATGAGACAATGGTTTTTGTTCATGATCAGACTGATGATCAAGAGAAGCAGGATTTGTTGTACAAAATAATGCAATCATATGTAATCACAAGTTGATTGCTTTATTTAGTGAGAATGATTTTTCAAATGTATCCATATATCAGTCAAGCCATGTAAGTAAGTCAACATTCGAAAATAAAAATCTCAAAAATCGTACATCTTTGATTTCCAAAATAATTTGTGAGGTGGTTATTTAGATGATAATACACATTTTAACGCACTAATTTTGAGTAAACCTCGAATCCATTCTCAACAAAGCGTTCTCGAAATAAGTATTCGAAATGTTTAAGTTCGGGATGATAAAAGTACGTTAAGATATACCGCTCCTTAACAAACTCCTTTGGGAACAAGATATAGAATCAAATGCATGTTCTTCCTATTTACTCCCTGACACATGCCAATGAATGTTGCATAAGTAAATATCTCCGTTTTAAAAGATTTTGAAAACTTTGTTCTCTACAGGTGCCATGTTTTATAATTGAAAAACAAAATTGAACATTTTGCATTTCTAGATTAACTGTAAACGATTTAAGTCATTAATAATATTTCCCTTAGTGAACCCATGCTGAATAGACAGTAACTGGGTCAATTATTTGTGTTCAACCTTGTTTTCATGACTTTTAAACATGAGTCGACGATTATGTTGGAAATTTCATTTCCAAATGTAAGCGTGTCAACTCCTGTTTTTACACAATATTCAGCCCTTTATAATGATAGATCGCCAAAATATGCATGTACCTCTCAATTAGGCGATATGTTTTTCAATTTATAGATGTAAACTATAAACTCAAACAAAAATTCAAACCACTCGCTCTATTATTTTGATTACACAAGACGAAATTTCACCTCTGGGGAGCACTTTGGTATCACTTTGAAGGAGGATTCTTGAAAAATCGTTCGAATTTTCACAAAAGGTTTCACGTAATTTTATTGCTTTGTTTAAGCCTCGACTTATATCATACTCAAATCCGATACCATAATCATGAATCAAAATGAAACATTCAATTCACCAGGTTAAATAATAAACCGTTTCGAGAATTGATGATTTGAGTTAATTGTGGATATTTATAATAAATGTAAGTTAGCATGTATTCGACAGTTAATGTACACACATGATGTATGCATCAACGTGTGACTTAAATATCAATTCGTGACTATCACATTTGGCTTCCAAAAATTAAGTTGGAAATTACAGTGGTAGGAGATTAACGAAAACGTCAATCACATCCAAATATCCGTACGACGTCAAGTATTAACAAAACACTTTTCGTGCATCTCCAACATGGCAAGGTTCTGTTATCCAGCAATGTGCATTTCGAAAGAAAAAATTCACAAATATCAACAAATTTCATTGAGTAGGATATTACATTCGAAATCACAACTTTCAAATTATTTTCTTTTAACCAAGAATTGTAAGAACTTGAAACATGTTGTGGGTTTTTCAAACGGCATATCCTCATTCACGTTCTTTGACAAGGATGAATCCATTTGAAAACATGGATTTTCTTGATTATTCTTCAAAACTACCCTTGAAATATAAGTATGTAGGATATTACAGTGTAAATTGACACGCATTCGTTTGCTCGATATCCTGAACAAATAAATGCAATACCGTCTTGCAATATTTGATAACCGAAAGTTCATTCTGTATGTAAACAAGTAAATATTGATGAACATACGAATATCGATTGTTGACTAAGTTACTTGTCTTGACCGATATGTGTATTTAACACCTAATATCAAGAGTATGACTCACTAAAATTTAAAAAATACAAACAAGAGAACTATTTTGATATTGACTGTATATTATAAGTGAAACACATTATTCACAACAGATTTAATTACCATGTTCTTTCTTGGCAAATATCTTTTATGATAATGCTCAACACAACATTACCTACTACACATTAATATTCTCATGGGTTTAGACAAATCAAAATGCTTGAACAGCCAATTAAAACGGTTGAACAGTTAATTAAAACGGTTGAACAGCTAATTAGAACGGTTGAATGGCTAATTAAAATGCTTGACCAGAAATAGGGTTCATAGTCCTAGTTTCTGTTATATTTATTTTTAGCTTGTGTTATACTATATATTTATTTATATTCTCTATTTCATGCAGGGGGATAAACATTTAAAAAGTGTTTTCAGAATTTTGAGGGTTCATTTCTTTATTCTATTACTTTAATAAGTGCCAAGAAATCTCAAATAGCAAGTATATGAAAATGCAAATAATATTTTCAAAATTTTTTATTTAATTTTTATTTAGTTTGTTTTACCAAGGGCATGCAATAGATTGAATGGTTTTACTGTATTCACTAGGGCAGAGCATTTGTACTGAAAGGAAAAATAAAAAAACTGGGCTTATTTTTCAAAACTCTAAACTTGAAAAAATCTGGAGGAAAATAAAGGAGATTTTCGTTTTCTGTTTATGGATTAAGTTATTGTTCTTTGGCAAATTATTTATCAAGTTCTGTGTATGGAATAATTAAATTACATAGGATGGACTCTAATCAAACTGAAAGTCTTTCTGTAATAAGCTTTGTTTTGCCTTGCCAAATTATTTTTGTTTTGTTTATGGATTAATGGATTAATAAAGTTTCTTCAGACACATCCTTTAAAGCAGACTCTAATCAAACTAAAGAGACTGAGTCTTACTGTAATCAGAGTTTTTTTAAGTTATGCTTATCGACTTAATTATTTAAAACACATCTTGTAATGTCTGATTGCATTCTATCAAACCAAATATATCAAATCAATAAACAGATTATTTTCTAATTGAAGGATTTCAATTTGTAAAATTCATGACTTGACCCAATCAAAATTATTTCAAATGTTTTTGCAACAACTTAAAAAGTAGTGGAGGGATTTTGTAAAAATGATAGTCATGTCAGCGACGGGATTTGCTATGCCTAAGCATTGCTGTAATCTAGATACTTTACATGTGAGACACCACTATCCTTCAAGGTTAGATGGAAATTGGTTCAATATATTTTCATTCACAAGACAAGTTTACTAAACTATTTCAACACTCAATATCTTTTTGATCAAACCATTTAAATTCTGACATGTATGCATGAAATACATACATTTGAAATATATATTTTAAAGAGCAATATAATTATTTCATGTTGTATTGAGATAATATTGCCATATTGTTAAAGGGTTGCATTTGATTGAAACGGTTGTAAGAAATGCAATCAAAATTGTCAAGCGTCTACAATGGTTACATATGATTGAAACATTTTCAATGAGTTTACAACCAAACTTGTAATGGTTGCATCGTAACGGTTGGCATGGTTGCATAAATGATCGGATCAATGATTGTGCAATGATTGTGCAACGGTTTAAATTTTTTGTAATGAAAATTAATGTTTACATTTTCAGTTCACCGTGGGCGAGCAGTTACAAATTAGAAAAACTAAAGAATCCTAATATTTTTTTTACAACTGATATAAACTATAACGTGTCAAACCACTTTCCAAAATTGTTCGTGGCGTTCGTATGAGAAATTGTTCAAGGTGGCCAGATCTTTCGATTTCTAATATTTAATTTTAAGTAATATTTAAAACAAAAAGTTTAATCTATCGCATTTTGTTAATATCGGGTAAATTAAAGAGTAAAATAAAAACGAAAATGATTTGATTTTTACACAGGGCCTTTAAACATCAAATAAATTCATCTATAAACGGCTAACAACGTTCTCTATTGGACTGTCCCGCAACAAATGTACTTGAAGGGATCGGAGGTACTTGGAGCTGTTTAATATACATGTACATGACATTGTTCTCTGGAACTATTTTTAGATCATCGTAAGTGTTATTCTCAGGAGTTTACATGTAGCAATGGGGAGTGCATCAAGAGCGCCTTTATGTGCGACAACAATACTGACTGTATTGACGGCAGCGACGAAATAAATTGTGGTAAGAAGAAACAATTTAGATTTAGACTGAAACCTGGATGACATTAACATCACTGGGCAAGATTAACTGGATTGGCCTACTGTATTTATTATTTGTCGAACTGATGAATCATTTGGCATTTTATTGTTTAGCCATATTTAGAATACTCGAAGTGATTTATATGCTTTGGTTTATAATAAATACTTGTGCACAAATGCAAAATGAATGACCAAAAAAAAGGAAACATAAAAGAGTACACCAGTCATAAGGAAAACAAACCCCAACTATCACAAACCATAATCTGACGTGAAAAGAAACAATGGATAATATCACCTTCCCTCACCATTTAGGTACCATTATCACAACCCAAGACCACAGCACCGAGGGGCATTCCATTGGTACTAAAGTCATTACAATATTGAAAAACAAATCTCAAATAAATTCATATATACTATCCTATCCATCCTATCTTATCCTATCCTATCCTATACCATCCCATCCCATCCCATACCATACCATACCATACCATACCATACCATACCATACCATACCATACCATACACCATACCATACTATACTATAGTACTCTCGACATCATGGTAGTTGTAATTAGCATTCATACATGTTATAGAATTCAGTCTCAAATGACGTTGGAAAGATAATGGAATCCAGTCCCAACACCCATAAGCGTATCAAAGGGTCAACATCCATCCGCAAAGCCGACACTATAATCCATAAAACAATGATTCACATTTAGTCATTAAGAGAAAACTATGGCTTGTTTACTGGATTTTAAAAACATGCTTTACATGCTTTTTTTACGGCCAGTGGCAAATGCCTCACTTGCAATCCTATTCGATCAGCACAATGAAATTCTTGATCATAAAATCGAAGAACATTACTCCTTACTCCCTGCGCAAATAAAATAGTGAAAAGGTCCATTTAAATAGTTTTGTATCTGACTATAAATTCATTTGTTTTAGAAAATCACTTTTATTGCGACAACGGGTTATACATTCCACGTTCTTCGCTTATATGTGACAAATGGGTGGATTGCAAATGGACGCAGTTAGATGAACTGAATTGTAAGTTGTCTTACCAACATACAATGGACGAGTAAATTATTGTTAATTTTGACATGTTAAACGAATCTAGCTCTTTAGCTGAGACATTCTAATAGTTATGAACATGAATAAGACAGATTTATTATAAAGACACATTAGCCCGAACATGAAACAATGAACTTCGAATAATGGTTTTGCTTTATTAAAATTATGAATTTCCAAGGTGATGCATGCAGTGGGCCCGAGGACTTTCAATGTAATAACGGACGTTGTATCAGGGCATCCAACGTTTGCGATGGAGTGTGCGATTGTGCCACCTCTTGTGATGATGAAAATGAATGTGGTGAGATTTGATTTATAATTATGTAGTAGTGAGGTGTTCACAGGGCATATTCTGTAGGGAATTGTTCATATGACATGTTCTAAATTGAAATGTTCAAAGAGCATGTTCTGTAGTGAAGTGTTACAGGGCATGTTGTGGAGTGAATTTTTAATATAGCATATTCCGAAGTCACATGTTCATAGGCCACGTTCTGTAGTGAATTGTTCAGGAGCATGTTCTGTTGTGGAGTTTTCACAGGGCATATTCTGTAGGGAATTGTTCAAAGAGCATGATCTGTAGTGGAGTTTTCTTAGGGCATGTTCTGCAGTGAATTGTTCAGAAGCATGTTCTGTAGTGAAGTGTTCATGGGGCATATTCTGTAAGGAATTGTTCAAAGAGTATGTTCTGTAGTGGGGTTTTCATAGGGCATGTTCTGCAGTGAATTGTTCAGGAGCATGTTCTGTAGTGGAGTTTTCACAGGGCATATTGTTCAGAAGCATGTTCTGTAGTGAAGTGTTCATAGGTCATATTCTGTAGTTCTGTAGTGAAGTGTTAACAGGGCATGTTCTAAAGTGGCGTTCAAAGGGCATGTTCTGCAGTGAATTGTTCAGGAGCATGTTCTGCAGTGTAGTTTTCATAGGGCATGTTCTGCAGTGAATTGTTCAAAGAGCATGTTCTGCAGTGAAGTGTTCATGGGGCATATTCTATATATAATAAATTGTTCAAAGGGTATGTTCTGCAGTGGATTGTTCATAGGTCATGATATATAGTGGTGTTCAAAGGGTATGTTCTGTAGTGAATTGTTCATATAGCATACTATGTAGTGAATTGATCATAGGTCATGTTCTATAGTGGTGTTCAAAGGGTATGTTCTGTAGTTAAGTGTTCATAGGCCATGTTCTATAGTGGTGGTTATTACGTATGTTCTATAGTGAATTTTTCATAGGTCATGTTGCATAGTTTTATTCAAAGGGTATGTTCTGTAGTGAAGTGTTCATAGGCGATGTTCTATAGTGGTGTTTATTACGTATGTAATGTAGTGAATTCTTGTCATGTTGTAAAGAGGTGTTCAAAAGGTATGTTCTGCAATGAATTGTTCATAGGTCATGATATATAGTGGTGTTAAAAGGGTATGTTCTGTAGTGAGTGAAGTGCATAGGACATGTTCTATATTGGTGTTCAAAGGGCGTGTTCTGTAGTGAAGTGTTAATAGGGCATGTTCTGCAGTGAATTGTTCAAAGTGCATGTTCTGTAGTGAATTGTTCATGGGGCATATTCTATAGTAAATTGTTCAAAGAGTCTGTTCTGTAGTGAAGTGTTCATAGGGTATGTTCTGCAGTTAATTAATTGCTCAGGAGCATGTTCTAAAGAGAAGTGTTCATAGGTCATGTTATATAGTGGTGTTCAAAGGGCATGTTATATAGTGGTGTTCAAAGGGCATGTTCCGTAGTGAAGTGTTCAAATGGAATATTCTGTAGTGAAGTGTTCATGTGGCATATTATATAGTGAAATGCGTGTTTATAGGGTATATTCTGTAGTTCTATAGTGAAGTGTACTCAAAGTGCATGTTCTGAAGTGGTATTCAAAGGACATGTTTTGTAATGAAGTTTTTATATGACATATTCTGTGGTGAAGTGTTCAAAGGGCATGTTCTGTAGTGAAGTTTTCATATGGTATGTTCTGTAGTGAAATGTTCAAACGACATGTTCTGTAGTGAGGTGTTCATAGGTAATATTTTGTAGTTCTATTGTGCAGTGTTCAAAGGGCATACTCTGTAATGAAGTTTTCATATGACATGTTCTGTAGTGAAGTATTGAAAGGGCATTTTCTATCGTGAAGTTTTCGAAGGGCATGTTCTGCAGTGAAGTGTTCAAAGGACATATTTTTTAATGAAGTGTTCATAGGGCATACTCTGTAGTGAAGTGTTCAAAGGGCATTTTCTGTAGTGAAGTGTTCAAAGTGCATTTTCTGTAGTGAATTGTTCATAAGACATTTTCTGCAGTGAATTGTTCATAGGGCATGTTCTGTAGTGAAGTGTTCATATGTCATGTTTTTAGTTAAGTTTTAATATGACACGTTATGCAATGAAGCGTTCAAAGAGCATGTTCTGTAGTGAGGTGTTCATAAGGCAAGTTCTGCAGTGAAGTGTTCAAATGGAATAGTCTGTAGTGAAGTGTTCATGTGGCATGTTCTATAGTGAAATGCGTGTTTATAGGGTATATTATGTAGTTCTATAGTGACGTGTTCATAGTGCATGTTCTGAAATGGTATTCAAAGGACATGTTTTGTAGTGAAGTTTTCATATGACATATTCTATAGTGAAGTGTTCAAAGGGCATGTTCTGTAGTGAAGTTTTCACATGGCATGTTCTGTAGTGAAGTTTTCATATGACATATTCTATAGTGAAGTGTTCAAAGGGCATATTCTGTAGTGAAGTGGTCAAATGGCATATTCTGTAGTGAAGTGTTCATATGGCATATTCTGTAGTAAAGTGTTCACATGGCATGTTTTTATGTAAGTTTTCATATGACATGTTCTGTGGTGAAATTTTCGAAGGGCATGTTCTAGTGAAATGTAGTGAAATGTAGTGAAGTGTTCAAAGGGCATATATTGTAGTGGTGTTCAAATGGCATGCTCTGATGTAGAGCCATATAAAATATTACACAGTTGTCGAGCTGAGATAAAACAAAGGACATATATATAAGTGTTTCAAGTTGTAAGCATTTTAGTTTGCCAAAAGTGCTTTCGTGAAATTAAGAAATATGTGTATGGGCCATAAAATTGAACCTTGTGTTACTCCATAATTTATTGAGATGTAAAGAAGATAATATCCGACCAGGAAAATGTACTTCACACTAAAATAAGGCATGTATAATGGGTTTTGATTTTTAGAGTTTACATGCGTTGGAAAGTTTGACTGTAGCAGTCGTCAACACGGGAATATAGCAGACTGGAGAGGGGGTAGGTGCATTGACTGGAAGTTCGTTTGTGATGGTGTGAACGATTGTTGGGACAGCGGTAGAGGGCGCGACGAGTCATATTGCAGTAAGCTGATAATATGAACATGTAGCCTATATTTCATTTGGAGCTTATTTTAATTGATTTGGGTATCAAAAATTTAGAATTGACCATGATGCAGAAAATGAATATGACAGTCCTTAGTATATGTGATATTCAATCTGAGTGGTTAATTTGCCGAATGGTCAAATTTTATCATTTTTCTAATTTTAATGACAAGGAACTTCACATTGAATATCACTATGAAGATGATATTTCCGACGTTTTATTTTCCGAAATTAGGCAATGGGTAAATTAAATGATTGGGCAAAATTACCACATCTATTTATCCATACGCCACGCAATGATTCTAGCACACACCTGGTTTAAGTTCTTATCTTGCGCCAGAGCCTTGTAGACATGTGTACATCATACGCATATCTGATGGTGGAGTGGATACAACAGGTCAATTCTTATGTTATCTGACTCACCTCACTTTATACTTTTTATTTTGACAAAAGAAAGGCATATTTGAGACTCTACACCATGTAATTATAAATCGTATGTATTCATATATAAACTTGGTGTTGAATATATTGCATAGATACAGGGTGGTCCATATTTTTTATATCGATATAACTTCTTAAAAAATGTATGGATTTTCATAAAAGTTTGGCAGGCTATAGCAGGAATCAATTTCACAAATGTTCCAAAAGTGGGATAAATAAATCTTAAAGGGGTTTCTGAATAATAAAGGTAAACAGACACTAAGGGTCTATATGAAAGCTGAGTCAAGGATGGTTGTATACGCTGTTGAAATTTTTACTTCTGATAGGAATAAAAGCATCGAGAGTGTATCGAGACCGATAAGGAAGATGAGATGGACTGGTTAATCTTTAATCGTCAAGAAAAACGAAACTGGCAGGCGAATGTTTGGATGAAAAATGATGTTATTTTATTGACTTGTAATTTATATTTATAGTATTCATCTGAGTCTTAGAGGATAATGAAGAAACAGGTTCTTTACTGTGTGGGCTCAATCGAGCACCATACTGATCTTTCTCTCCACAACTAGGATCTCAGAATAGCTTCACTGAGGACAGATTTTCCCAAATTACTGTTATCTCTTGATGCTGAATTAGTTTTTTTCCATCTTACTTATTTATCTGAGATACTTCTAATGTTATCCCATTTTTTCTGGAAATCAGTCCAGAATATACGGAACACCCTACCCCATGCTTTTTTCGGACAGACTGTCTAATATGGCAATTTAGTACTTTGATTTGAGGCATGACGGATATCAGTGGACAATTGTTACTTTGATTAACATTCTGATACATGTAATCGAATAGACCGAGTGTCTGTTTATGTACCTTTATTACTCAAAAACACATAGAGATTTATCCCATTTTTGAACATTTGTAAAATTGATTCCTGCATATTCTGCCAACATTTTATTGAAATCGATGCATTAACAAAAAATTGATATCGAAAAAAAAATAAGGACGTTTTTTGGCTTACCCTGTATATATACACACAGCCTTCTCGGACAAACACATTATGCACTATTGCAAAGACCCCAGTTGTATAAAGTGTTTATGGGACACCCTGTATACGACTATGACTACTTCTTTCAGAGACTCCCGGTGACGATTTTTGCAGAAACTCAAATGCCTACAACAATGATCTGAGGTGCATAGGGAATTGCTTGAGATCCAACCTTGTATGCAACTATGTCAAGGACTGTCGGGATGGCAGGGACGAGGTCGGATGTGGTAAATAATACCATATAATTGGAATATATTGTTTCAAATAAGATTTTGAGGGATTATTAACACACTATTTCTATTCTAAAGTAATACATTGGACATTTAATATGTCACAAATGGCCTTCTGTTATTCATTATTGTAATAATAATAGCGCCTCAATTTATTTCTCTAACATTTCTACTTAACTTGATCCAAGTCAACAACTCAGATGAGATATTCTGTTAATAAACAAGTGCACTCGACCCAAATATGGAAAATGAAAGTGTATTAACACAAATTGTAGGTTACCTCGACATCCCTTGTAGCAAATCTGAGTTTATGTGTCATAGTGGACAGTGCGTTGACGAGTCCTTACGATGTGATGGAGTCAGTCATTGCTTGGATCACTCAGATGAAACTAACTGTGGTACGTGTATTGTATATCATCCCATGCAGACAGATCGCCTAAAATTACATTCGTATGATGCTAGATGACAGCATGGGGTTTCTAGTTGAAAGACCATGATGACAGTCACATTGAGTTCTATGAGTATGAGAATAGCATGCCGTCATGATGACAGTCACATTGAGTTCTATGAGTATGAGAATAGCATGCCGTCATGATGACAGTCACATTGAGTTCTATGAGTATGAGAATAGCATGCCGTCATTATGACAGTCACATTGAGTTCTATGAGTATGAGAATAGCATGCCGTCATGATGACAGTCACATTGAGTTCTATGAGTATGAGAATAGCATGCCGTCATGATGACAGTCACATTGAGTTCTATGAGTATGAGAATAGCATGCCGTCATTATGACAGTCACATTGAGTTCTATGAGTATGAGAATAGCATGCCGTCATGATGACAGTCACATTGAGTTCTATGAGTATGAGAATAGCATGCCGTCATGATGACAGTCACATTGAGTTCTATGAGTATGAGAATAGCATGCCGTCATGATGACAGTCACATTGAGTTCTATGAGTATGAGAATAGCATGCCGTCATGATGAAGGTAACACATTCGAAAAGTGATGACTGTGATTGAAATGGTGATGTAAAGATAAAACCGTAATGAAATATTTGTAGATTTCTTTGAAAAACTAAGAAATACACATGAATAAAAACATGTATAAAAAGTAAGGCATGTAGGTCCGATTCCCCCTGGTAGCATAACATTGGTCTCATACATGTCATACAATTAATATTTGAAATACAAATTCAACTTTCATTCGAACTTATGATCGCACATAAGCATGATCTTTCTTTATTAATGTTACATTGAAATACACATCATACTTATGTCCGATCATAAGTTTGAATAATAGTTGGGTTTCAAATATTAATTGTATGACCTATACGAGACCAAGGTTAATGCTACCAAGGGGCATCGGACCTACATGCCTTACTATTTATACAAGTCATGTTTTTTTCTGTTTTGAAAGAGTTCTAATTTTTTCAAAGAAATCTACAAATATTTCGCTACGGTTTTATCTTTACAGCGTCATTTCAATCACCGTCATCATTTTTAGGTGATCTGTCTGCATGGGGTGTATATTTACGTCTATATAGTCGCTAAAATAGGTTTTCAGGAAGTTCGTGTTCGAATCGATTCCCCTTGATCACTGCCCTCTATCGAGATACACTAAGTTAAGTGCCTATAGGCTTGCGTAATGCAGTGCTTTTTTGAGATTCTTTCAGATAAATCTTATTGGATTATGGCGAATAGCTAGTTAAAGATCCTGTCCATATCCAAATCGATTTTCGAAGAGAAAGTTAATCTCAATTTCATGTCTTTCGAACTTGTTACTACAACATTTACGTATAATCGAATTTACTATACCTTTAGGTGATCACGTGTGCAGGGATGACCAATGGCAATGTGCTAATGGTCAGTGTCTGATTGGATCACAAGTGTGTGACTATACACGAGATTGCTTTGACAACAGTGATGAAAATAATTGTAGTGAGTAATTCAATATTTTGAATTTACGATTTGCTATATAGCTGGATAAATAGTTGGCAGCAGGTTTGTAATAAGACCAAGTTTCAAAAGTCACTCAACCCTTTCCTGACAAGAATATAAGAGGAAAATGAGGAGTGAGAGCGTTGACAAGAATTATTACAAATTTGATGTAACAATACTGAATAGAACAGAAGATATCGTCATTCTATTTAAGGAATAAAAACCGAGATTTTATGATTTATGGCGTGATATATGACCGAAAATTTTATTCTGTTCATTGTTAAAAGACTGAAATCACGTAGCGATTGAATAAAATTTGAGGTCATATATTTGACATAAATCATAAAATCGAGGTCTTTGTTACGATTCTAATATGATAAACCGTCAAGAAACAAAACTATTTGCTTTCATGAATTTTAGCGGTCATACATACTCCAATAAAGACCAGAATTCAATTGTTGTAGCTATTGTGACGTCACGTATCATATTAGAATGATGTATATAAATAAAATAAGTATTGGGTAATATGGCTCCATATGGAGCCTATCGTCGTAGAAGGGTATATTTCTTGATGTATCAAGTATTTCCGTTTGTGTCAAAGGTAATATAATGAAGTCCAACCATTTTTTTTAGAAAACTTGAAAACAATTGGAAATTGAATAAAGGAAAATAACCAAGCGAATCAATTTAAAAAAAATAAATAACACATATTGAATTCAAATATGACCTAACTTAGCAGGGATTTAGGACTTTCCAGGGAATTAGTTCATCTATTTTATATCATGTGACCATGAATAAGCCAATGAGCATCTAGAATACCTATGGGTTATATAATAGTGCATTTTGTAATGTGGCACCAAATTTAAATTAAATTTAAATTAGTAAAATAGTAAATAATTAATCTAAAAGAAAACATCGATGATTCCAGACCACAAGAACTGCACCTCTGTCGAATTCCGATGCAGAAGTGGTCAATGCATCCCAAATGAAAACGTTTGCCACCAGTCCAATAACGGATGCATCGACCATTCACATCTCCTGAACTGTAGTAAGTAATATTTAAACCCCTCACCAACTCATTAAGTCACAAACCCCTCATTGTATACCCTTTTCTAGATATGTAAAAGTCTTGTTGCACTCGCGTTTTGAAAATTATTTCAAGAGTGGATGTTTTCCATTGATGACACTCCAAATTTGGATGAGTAGATACAATTCGATAAAATATATTTTTACACGCTGATCCTTTTTTCAAAAACAGGAGAATATGTGTGTGATAGCGGCTACTTTAAATGCACAAACAGTTATTGCATTCCCGAGTCGAAGAAATGTGATGACGTAGTCGATTGTGAGTTGTCGCTTAATGACGAAGCTCAAGAAGTATGCAAAAAACGTAAGGCATATTGCTAGAAATGTTATATACCAAAGTCTAGTAATTCTAATACCAATTACAAATTCTGAATATAAATTCTGATGCATTCTTTTGACAACAAGTAACGAGTAAAAGTCTATTTCTTGAAATGTCTGTATCTTAGCATTTGAATTCGGCCTACCACCCTCACAATGCATGCATTCTTAAAATCTGCCACTATTCACTAAGCATTGGGCTTAAATCATTTAACATTCATGATTTAAGATTATACAATGGGAACACCAGTGACATCTTGATCCTTCTGGTTTTCTCATCAAATGATCATCGTGACAGAGCACATCCTTCTTTCCATGTGTTCGAGAAGACATAACGATAGTTTGAAAACAGGCCCATTAATTCAGTAGACATTCATTCACCATTTTCAACTGTGAAAACGTTTTTGCTTTTTATGAGTTTGTGTTTATTTCTCTCGACAATGTTTTGAAATCTTTCAGCATACGCCTGTCCATACCCCAGTGAGGAATGCACGTGTCACTGGAAGGAATTGAACTGTTCTTTTCAAGGCCTCGTCATGCTACCAGTTGGACTGAAAGAAGAAATAAAAGTCTCAGAATTGTAGGTGTTTAATCACATGTCGAATGCTCATCGTAATAACTACTATTGCGCATGCACATAAATGGCGAAAATCACAAATGAATTATCGCAAACAATTCAAAATTTGAACTAGAATTATGAATTTTATGATTCATTATCTCCAAAAAGTATAAATAATGATAAGTAGGTTAATCAGACTAAATTATATTAAAGGGGCAATTGACCAATCAACATACTTTTTCAAAAATGACCTAATTTTCTGAAAATGCAACCTTTTATAAAAATGTTGAATGCATCAGATATGTTCCATTTTCTAAAAGGAAAGTGGATTCCTCCAGTGACTTTAAAGACATCGAATTTGGATGATCAAAATGAGCTGAAACCAATGGAAAACATAAGTTTTTCAATGGAAAAAACAACATTGGGAACACTAGATGAATTCAGTTTTCTTTTCAAGAATTTATTGATCAAAATAGAATAGTAATGCATTAAGATTTAAAAAATGATTGCATTTTTGGTGAAATTGAGGTCAGCATCTTTGAATTATACTGATGGGTTGTAACTAAATATCTCTGAGTCCGATTGACTATACTATTGTATAACCTTTCTTTTGGATAATGAATGGACCTCTGTTGAAACAGTAGTGCCTACGAGCCTTCTCAGTGATCTTGCAAACATATCCTGATTTATTCAAAGTACCGAAAATGCCAGGGTTTATAAGAAAGGTCTATTGATTATGTTTTCTTTCCAGCCATTTATCTGGTAATAACCTTATATTGAACAACGAGACATTCGAAAAGTGGGGGAAGCTGACATATCTGTAAGAATTATATTTCATTATTTTAACCTGACTTACGATCTTCCAAAAACTAAATAATAGACAATTATAATACTAAATAGTCTAAAGGACGATTTTCAGAAATATGCAGATGAATTTGATTTTCCAAACCGAAATCGTCTTTGGTTCTCCAAACCGAAAATCGTCCTTTTAAAAAGTATGAGGTCTAAATGCAAACGTAATACGGAATAGTAATTGTTTTTGTTTATGCATTCAAAAGTTTGCGTGAGACCCCCACGTGGATAGGGTAAGGAATTTGATCCACAATATTTCCCCCATGGGTCGGAATTTGACGAAGATTGTCGTCCCGGGAGTGAGGAATTTGATTTACATGTGCCCGGGAATGAGGATTTTTGACTGAAATTTCGGAATTTGCAAATGATCGGTATATTCAGTGAACTAAAGATCCCTCCTATCGGGAACAGAAGAAAATAACTCATGTACAGTCTATACGTTAGGTATAGTTTCAGGGGTGGAATTGCCGAGAATAACCGCTGGAGAGAGGAACTCTAGAATAATACTGAGTAGTGTCTTAATTATTTGTTTGTCAAGCTTGTTTCGTCCTCCCTTCGAAAAATGCATTTTGCGTCCAGACTACTTATGTTTATAAGCGTGTCATAATTTAATTGATTTAACATAGATGATTAATTTAATTTGAAATTAAATTTTGAAAAATTATCTTAAAATCAAAAATACGTCATTGCATAAATTACAAGTGACCTTTTGAAAATTACTACGATGTGGATTTGTTCCCGATTCGCACCAATCAAACGCAACAATCCGCCCGCCCATTCGACAAAAATGATCGTTCATACAAGCATATTCTCCACTTTTGTTGAACAGATACAAAACCAATAGTAAAACCATGTCCCTTTTGGCTCATTTTTGTCAAAAATTTTAGGCAATTTGCGAAAAGTCATAAAATGGAATGTGTTCTCATCGGCTTTCGCCGGTAATTGCGTCATTTAAAAAACTGCTTCTGTATTGGTCATATGTAAATCGTAAGCGAACTTTTCAATCATAAATTAATATTGTAGCACGTGTAGTGGACTTTCTGCGAAGAATCTTATGACCATATATGGTGTCTCTAATTAAAATATTGACCTAAAAAGTACTGCACGTGTATCCCTTAACATTTACGAGCATTAGCCTACTAACAAGAAAATCTGATATTTGAAAATATATTTCAAATGGTGGAAGGACCCAGGGCCCGCGAATATTTGACCAGATTATTACTCCAAGGGTAGGGGAATTTACACATTTATTTGGCCCCGGGGTAAGGAATTAGACAGGTTAACTTTTTTTGTCAAATTCCCCATCCATTCCTGCTTGGGGGGGGGGGGGTGGTCTCACGCTAACTTTTGAATGCTGCATTACTTCATAAAATTGATGTTTTATTTTCTTTTATCAATGAACAGTTTTGAAGACTTAAAAATAATTAACAAGATATTTGATTTCAGTGATTTGAGTAGAAATAACTTATCTTACATTCCGGCGGGTGTCTTTAAACAACTATGGCGGCTACAAGAATTGTAAGTAGTACCCAGATGCGAGTAAGTAGTTACCATTTTCACCACCAGGTGGCTGATTCGGGGTAAATAACATGGTAGGGTATTAGAGAATTCCTTGAATATTCATCAGTTTTAGTGGTTCCATTTTCATATTACCCTTATGTATCTGATAGTTATATACACATTAAAATATGTCCAGTAAAGTAAAATATTATCTGTTCAATAAAGGAAAAATTCACTTTCTGTGACTTTATAACAAGGGGTTATTGGGTTTCCCCGACATAGAAGTTACATTTTCAAAGAAAATAACATTTTCAAAGTTCAATTGGGTTATTTTGGATTGGATTTATTTCCTATTCAAGTGCTGTTTTTCTGACTGTTACGAACGAAGAGTTTTATTCTGTAAGGTTGGAATTCTATTTCTTTGCAAATACTATTGGATAGCACTTTATTGCAATTTTGAATTGTTATCATGTTTTTAGGAATCTTGGCGACAACTACATAAGCAGCATCACACAGGGGTCGTTCACAGGGCTATCCAGCCTTAGTAAATTGTAAGTTATCTGTAGCATGCATGGTGGATGACAACCTCATGTTGTCCAACATTCGTCTGACAATTATGAGGCTTTGTTTTTTAAACATATGTTCAGTTGGAGCAATATTATATCCATGGCACCTTTTATATAATTATACACTTCATTAGACAACTTAACAAATTACGAATGTACTTTGACATCTATACGACTTTGAATCAATTGATGTCAAAACCGCTAGTTGATATCCAGTGATTTGAGGGTTTTGGTGAAATTTGAATTCATTTGCTTGACCCAGAACCGGAGAAAACCACAGGAAGGGGTTTTGCGATAAAAACTCGCCGTGCATGGGAAAAGCTTAAATGATCTTTGACTTTTGATTATCTATTTCAGAACACTTGGAGGAAATTCAATAAGTTCAATCCAGCGATCTGGATTTAGTGGACTATCGTCCCTTGGGATTCTGTAAGTTAATTTCCTCTTTAGACTAATATAAGGTCATTGATGACAAGGTAAACGTTTTGAATTTTGATTCGCTTTGATTTTGAAAGAATTTGTATAAGAAATCACCATGTTTTTATTTCAGTGATTTAAGGCACCAGAATTTGACAGCAGTTCACGCAGACTCGTTTCAGGGACTCAGGCAACTTCGTAATCTGTAAGTTTGGAGAAATATTAGAAGAGTTAGAGATACGATTTCCGAATTATTTTGCTCTCATCATTCCACGTCATGCTTATTTATATTTATAAAAGGTTGATCAATTCTGACTTTACTTCGGAATAATGAAAACAAAATAATGACTCTTACGAAAAAAATCACACGATTTTTAAAAAGATTGCATCCAACATTTTACAATCTCTATCCTTAGATTTTTTCTACAGGGATCTATCTTACAACAGAATTACACATATCAGTGACGGGGCCTTCAATGGACTTCAAGATCTTTTAAAGTTGTGAGTATCTATTAGATATGTAAGGACATTAATGTTCAAACATGACCATGTTTTATTAGAATCATCCAATCAGAATGCAGGCATATCCGTTCTATAATTCTCAATAGATGAACGATCTATGTGCAATCATATATCCGGTGATAAATAATAAATTTGACTATTTGTAGAACCATTTCACACAACGTCATTGTTACCATAGGAGAAAACGCTTTTAATGGACTAGGAAAACTGAATATGCTGTGAGTAACGATTACTTTAATAATACGATGTCTTGTAGTGTCTTATATACAGTATAATACAATGTATAGTATAATTAGATGATAAGAATGTTGAATTTTAAAAACGGCGTTTTACTGCTTCATATGCGCTGTCATACACTCACCAACACAAATTAGAATGGGCGGTTGACAATCTCAAATTGCATTCAAGAATACAAGCCAATCATTATAGTTTGTGAAATGACCACAAAACAAATTGAAAATTATGAAAAATCAGCATTTTCGCAATTACTTACGATCTGTACTTTTTGAATTCTAGGACCACGGACGAATTTAAATTTTGTTGTCTAGCAAAACACGTAGAGAATTGTAATCCAAAGCCGGATGAATTTTCCTCTTGTGAAGACCTGATGTCCAACTTCGTTCTAAGGGCAAGTATATGGATCCTTGGTACAGTGGCATGCCTTGGAAACTTGGTAGTCGTTATATGGCGACTGAAAGAGTTCAGAGGATCAAAGGTAAGCATAACTCAAATATAGACTAAAGAGTAATGCATGGAGTTTAGAAAATTGAACAGTAGTTGTTGGTGCAAGGGCGAACGTAATACTCGTAATGTGCTTCGATTCGTATGATACACAAACGTACTAAGCCCCGGGTATTAAATAAACCCTTGATCGGTGTTGCCCACCGTTTAGTATAAAATGCGCGATCTTGGAAAAATACTCGGGGTAAACAGGTTGAGGACAATGTGTAAAGCCGTTTGTGTGTTGTGGCTCTTTATGTAGCAATACGCATTTGTAAAAGGAACATTTTTATTTTGATAAATCAATTTTACCTTTTATCGGTGAACTTTTAGGATTTTCGAAGTGAGAAACATTTATATTATAATATACCATTCAATTTTGTGATGATATATGTGTAATGGGAAACATTTTTAATTTACCAATCGATATTGTGATAATATGTGTTTAATGGAAAACATTTATATTTTAATTTACCAATCAATATTGTGATGATATTTGTTTATTGGAAAACATTCATATTTTGATTTACCAATCATATGTGTTTAATGGAAACATTTATATTCTAATTTACCAATCGATATTGTGATAATATGTGTTTAATGGGAAACATTTATATTCTAATTTACCAATCAATATTGTGATAATATGTGTTTAATGTAAAACATTTATATTTTAATTTACCAATCAATATTGTGATAACATGTGTTTAATGGAAAACATCTATGTTTTGATTTACCGATCAATATTGTGAAAATATGTGTTTAATGTAAAACATTTATATTTTAATTTACCAATCAATATTGTGATAACATGTGTTTAATGGAAAACATTTATCTTTTAATTTACCAATCAATATTGTGATAATATGTGTTTAATGGAAAACATTTATGTTTTGATTTACCAATCAATATTGTGATAATATGTGTTTAAGTGGAAAACATTTATGTTTTGATTTACCAATCAATATTGTGATAATATGTGTTTAATGGAAAACATTTATATTTTGATTTACCGCTCAATATTGTGAAAATATGTGTTTAATGGAAAACATTTATATTTTAATTTACCAATCAATATTGTGATGATATGTGTTTAATGGAAAACATTTATCTTTTAATTTACCAATCAATATTGTGATAATATGAGTTTAATGGAAAACATTTATGTTTTGATTTACCAATCAATATTGTGATAATATGTGTTTAATGGAAAACATTTATATTTTGATTTACCGCTCAATATTGTGAAAATATGTGTTTAATGGAAAACATTTATGTTTTGATTTACCAATCAATATTGTGATAAAATGTGTTTAATGGAAAACATTTATATTTTGATTTACCGCTTAATATTGTGAAAATATGTGTTTAATGGGAAACCTTTATATTTTTATTTACCAATCAATATTGTGATAATATGTGTTTAATGGAAAACATTTATGTTTTGATTTACCAATCAATATTGTGATGATATGTGTTTAATGGGAAATATTTATATTTTAATTTACCAATAAATATTGTGATAATATGTGTTTAATGGGAAACCTTTATATTTTAATTTACCAATCAATATTGTGATAATATGTGTTTAATGGAAAACATTTATGTTTTGATTTACCAGTCAATATTGTGATAATATGTGTTTAATGGAAAACATTTATATTTTAATTTATCAATCAATATAGTGATAATATGTGTTTAATGGGAAACATTTAAAATTATTATTATCTTATTTCCAGATCCATTCATTCCTGATAACTAACCTTGCCATCGGCGACTTTCTGATGGGGCTCTATCTTCTCATAATTGCATCTGTGGACGCCTTCTATAGAGGGCACTACATAGTCTACCACGACACTTGGAGAAAGAGCAGCATGTGTAACTTTGCTGGGTTCTTATCTACGTTCTCGTGTGAAATATCAGTATTTACCTTAACGGTGATTACCCTGGACAGACTCATTGTAATCATATTCCCATTCAAGGCAAAGCGGATGTCTATAAGACAAGCCCGGGGTGTTATGCTGACAGCTTGGTTAGTCGTGTCCTTCCTGGCTGGACTACCCTTATCCAACGCACCTTACTTTAAAGACTTCTACGGTAGATCGGGTGTCTGCCTCGCACTTCATATCACACACGATAAACCCAATGGTTGGGAATATTCAGTATTTATATTTCTAGCGCTCAATATGGTATCATTTCTCTTTATTGCATCTTCTTATATATCAATGTTCATCGTTGCCAAGCGGACCCAAGGCGCCGTGCGAAGCCAGGAGGTAAAGAATGATACTAAGTTAGCGAGGAGGATGACGTTGATTGTTATGACGGACTTCTGCTGTTGGGTACCCATCATATTACTGGGCATTATCTCCTTGATGGGGTTCAACATTCACTCCCAGGTACGTATTATTCTAAAAACTAATTGAATGTCGTTCATATTATCACTCATAGAAAATTAATAAAATAAGTATTTATGTTGGGAATGCATTTATGTCACAACTTTCGCCTGGGAGACCATACATTTCTACCTCATTATGTTTTCAGATATACAATCCTGTGTGGATGTAATAGAGTTTATTTAATTATGGGATTAAATATGGTTATAATTCCAAGGAACAATATGATTTTTCCCAAGTGAATAAAATCTACATACGATCCCTCCCAGTAAAACCTTTCTTCCATTTCATAATCTTTACAGATATACACCCTTTTATATGACTGCATTTTTTCTTTCCCTATCATTGCTTTCAGAAAAATTCCTGCCTGGCTACATCATTCTCCCTCATTTTGCTTTCAGATATGTTCCTCGTTGACTATATCGTTCTCCCTCATTTTGCTTTCAGTTATGTTCCTGGCTGGCTATATCTTCTTCCTCATTTTGATTTCAGATATACGCCTGCCTGGCTATATCATTCTCCCTCATTTTGCTTTCAGATATATTCCTGGTTGGCTATATCGTTCTCCCTCATTTTAATTTCAGATATACGCCTGCGTGGCTATATCGTTCTCCCTCATTTTGCTTTCAGATATATTCCTGGCTTGTTATATCATTCTCCTTCATTTTGCTTTCAGATATATTCCTGGGTGGCTATATCATTCTCCATCATTTTGCTTTCAGATATATTCCTGCGTGGCTATATCGTTCTCCCTCATTTTGCTTTCAGATATGGTCCTGGTTGGCTATATCGTTCTCCCTCATTTTGCTTTCAGATATATTCCTGGCTGGCTATATCATGCTCCTTCATTTTGCTTTCAGATATATTCCTGGGTGGCTATATCATTCTCAATCATTTTGCTTTCAGATATATTCCTGCGTGGCTATATCGTTCTCTCTCATTTTGCTTTCAGATATGGTCCTGGTTGGCTATATCGTTCTCCCTCATTTTGCTTTCAGATATATTCCTGGCTGGCTATATCATTCTCCTTCATTTTGCTTTCAGATATATTCCTGGGTGACTATATCGTTCTCCCTCATTTTGCTTTCAGATATGGTCCTGGCTGGCTATAGCGTTATCCCTCATTTTGATTTCAGATATGTTCCTGGTTGGCATCCCTCATTTTGCTTTCAGATATATTCCTGGTTGGGAATATCGTTCGCCCTCATTTTGTGTTAATATATATTCCTGGTTGACTATTTTATTCTCCCTCATTTTGCTTTAAGATATGTTCCTTGTTGGCTATATTTTTCTCCCTCATTTTGCTTTCAGATATACGCCTGGGTGGCTGTATTCGTTCTCCCTCTAAATTCAGCGCTGAACCCTGTAATATACACGATCTCAACAGCTCCGTTTCTCAAGCGTGCTCGTCTCTTAAGAAGATCATTCATGACTAAGGACACCAGTAGTACAGGTGAGAAGAGAAAGATGGCAGTATTTATTTGTATAGTTATACCTTGAAATTCCATCTTCTGTCACCCAGTCACGACCCCAGGGTCCCAAATGGGGAAGATACTTCACATTTATCAATTGCAACAAGTATGACATTCGGTTCATCGGTGGGTTCGACCGCCCTGGAAAGGGGAGGCTCTTAGAAGTGTACTTTTGTAAAGATGGTTCTCATAAAATCTCAAGGCATAATAAATCGCGAAGACCCATTATGCATTTGTGTTACCTTGTTTATCATTTACAAACATCCTCCGACACAGAGGTCCGACATCATCAATTGCTGGTGAATTGTATTCTTACTCATTGGCTCGGAATATGTGGTACAGATTTTGTATTGAGAATATGTGTTGAGAAAAGTAAAATACTAAGACATGATTTCATTGCAGCAGCTGATGCATCGTCCCACCCCGGAAGTGGCTTCCGGTTTAAAAGTTCCCTGCATCATACGTCAGTTTCACGTGACCACAGTAGCAGACCAAAGTTCAGGAGAGACTACGTGGCGCTGAAACAGCACCCAGGGGGGTCGCAACACAACACGAGTGTGGGGGAGGGCAGTATCAAAAGGGGCACAACACGACTGGCCAATGAATCAACGGGAAACACTGAAATATATGACTGAAGATGTAGACAATCATCTTGATTATGTATTCATTGACAATCTGAAGTTTATGTAGAAAAAGTTCAGTTGTGAGATATTAAGAATTGTACAAATACTGAATATCATTGAAATGCATTGAAATGTAGTAACATTAATCCGTGTCCTTCAATTTAATGTTCTAATCAATTATGTCCGTATATACTGTATACATGTTTTTGCAGTAACTTTAATTTTAATCAAGATTTTTTTATCAAGAACAAAATAATCGTTTGCCAATATTTTAACATTCCTATTTCACTCCCCTCCATAAGTTTGGCAACCTTAGCTCCCCCATTGAACTAACTGTAAAGCCTCTTTACGTTTGAATTTTTATTTACTTAATCTGCGATGAAATAACTTATAATATCGATGGAAACGTAACTTGACTTTATTTGCAATACTTAACTTGTGATGAAATTACTTATAATATTGAAGGAAACATTACTTGACTTTATATCCAATACCTCCAAATTTTCTCGTTTTTCCCTCAATTACAATAGGTCAAAAATTGATGATAAATGTGTGGGTTCGGGGCAAATCAGAAATCAGGATATCTTTTCAGTAAAAGATTCAGCAAAAATATTTTTTAGAAAATTGAATTGTCTAACTTTGTACACTAAGTGTGTAGTTTACTTGATGAATACTTAAGTTACAGAGCTTCAAAGCCTACTATTTCAATGGGAGAAGTTTTTTGAAAAACAATTTTGACTTTAAAGACCTATAACTTTGTTGAACCTGAAGAAACGTATCATTTTTTTTAGCAAATTCAATTGCCTACCTTAATTGTATTTTTTGCAAGGGCTCGGGTGGATAGATATTCTGTCATATGACTTGCGGCAAACCTACCATTTCCCATTGGTTAACATGGGAATGTCAATTTTCAAAAATTTATCATAGATTTTGGACCTATTCTAATTGAGGAAAAAATTGAGAAAATTTGGAGGTATTGGAAATAAAGTCAAGTAATGTTTCAAGTAATAAGTATTTTCCTCACAAGTTATTTAAATGAAAATTCAAACGTAAAGAGGCTTTAACACGTAGTTCAATGGGGGAGCTTAGGTTGCCAGACTTGTAGAGGGGAGTGTAAAACCTTTATTTCTTGATTATCATGAATAAAAAGATCATTTTTATGAGTACCACAGGCAGGTTTTTGTCGAATACTTTGATATACTGTAGAATAGTATCCAAAGGGACCTTGGCAAGCAGTTAGAAAAGGCAGAAATCCTAATTTCAGAATTTTGGGTACGCAGGGCACATCGCATTTACGTCACACTATTCAATATAGGAGTTTCTAAATAGCTTTAAAATCTTGCTCATTCTCGCTTTTTCATGTGATTTTAAGTGATTTGCACATCTCTAATGATTTACTTTGCTTTATTTTTGATAGCATATTTGAATTCAGTGACAAGTTTTCTCCATAATAGCTTTGCTTTACACAGTTATGCCATGTTGAATCATTTTTCACGACATCATTGGTGCAATGCTAAAATTCATTAAAACCTTGGCTCATTTGGATCACAACCAACATTTTCATGTTTGATCACAATATGTACATTGAGAGGGTCATCCGATAGTATGCCATTCGAGTTTCAGGCAGATTCAACCATTTAGAAACTATACAATCTGCTTTTGATGTATACATGTACATAGAGGTTATTTTCTGGGAGGGATTCAATATGGGTTTTATTCAGAGGGACAATATGATATTTCCCGAGGGCCCAGGGTGCCTATGCCTATGAAAGCAAGCCTATATGTTTAATAGGCTTTCAATCTTCATACTTCTTACGTTTCAAAATCTATATTTCCCGGGAGGTGAATTTTCGTGAGCGGGTTTCGGAGGTGAATACGATTTTCGTGAGCGTGATTAAGTGGGCCAATATGATTTTTTTCAATATCAAAAATATTCCCGGGTAGTTTCATGGGATAAATAGAGGTTATTTAATGGGAGGGATGGAATATGAATTTTATTTCAAGGGAAATATGATATTGACCGAGGGCGACATATTTCTGGTTGAAGACAGAAAGATGTGATGAGTATCAGAATGGTTTATTGAATGTAGGCTTGTATTTATGAAATACATTAATTAAAAGCTATTGATTCAAAATAAAATTTTAAAAATATATAAGGCCGGATTATCTAAGTTCAAGAATGTGCAGTTCAAATGTTGATGTCATTGTTTGTGCCCACTGTCCTCCCGATTTTTCAAAATCAAATATAACTCGTATTTGAATTATTGCAAGGTAAACTGAGCCAAATGTTGAAAGAGTAATTTTGTTTTCGCAAAGTTCTAGCCTGAATATAAGATCGTCATATTATTGATTTCCAATATAGGTGTGTTTATGCGTATAAACCCTGCCATAATGCACCATTAATCACGAACATATATAGGACTTATTGTTAAGTTACATCGCCCTGTGTACAACTGTATTGGTGATAGTTGTATACATTGCCAGGAAGATAAGCCGATTTTGATACAATTAACAATGGAAGAATTTACCGACTCTACATCAACTAGTAAATAACTTAAATCCTCAATAGGGTTTACTACAATTCCGTAAAGGTATACGTGCACTAGAGGATATTCAAAGCCAATGTTAATGGACATGAACTACGACATTTTAAACAAAAACAAGTCATAAATAGACGTTTTGTTGTCTGTTGAGTGTATATACAGGCTCAGGTAAGTGACTTTTACACATAGTTGTAGAATGCTAATATAAAGATTGTACAATATACATTTTGTATGATGAAAACTAAATTCTATTTCCAGTTACATAAATATACTGTAGGCCAGTTTTACAGCTCGATTCTGCGGCTTTCTGCCTTGTCATACCTTGTAACTATGACTATCATAAGATAATATTGTATATACATAAAAAATAACATAGTATCACTATGTTAGTCTCAGCTTGTAATTAATATATTTGACTTTTTGAATATTATCTATGGTTATCATCTGAAAGAATTAATACACTTACTAATAAAATCGCCTAGTGACACCAATTGAAAACTGGTTATGCTATTCTTCGTCATTCTATTTTCTATTTGCCTAAAGTGATGTTATTATCCAAATAATCTTATAATGTCAACGCCATGATTACTCAAAATGTCAACTTTATCATGATTTTAAGCCTTATAGTTTACCAATAATGAACTATAACGACATTTCTCACACAAATGATATCAGTGTGGTTATAATGTTTGACAAAATCAGTTCTTTTTCAGTTTCCTATTTTTCAATAGACATGGAATGGTTTCATTTTATATAAAAATTAGTCGTTCCATGTACTGAGTTACTCCATAAGATTGTATATATGTACATACGTGATTACAAGTTGTATCGGATCAATAGACATGGTTAAGTCTTCATTTACTCTATTAATTATTGAACGTTGGAATGAATGCTTGAAGTAATTCATTAAAGTCTTTCCAGATAATGAAATAGTAATTTGGGAAAAATGTCATTATCAGAGTATAGTTTTATTGCAAAAACATTAGTTCAAGTATACGCTTACACTTCCTAACAAGAGTACAGCGCATGTCTTGGACATATACTGTTGTATTATTTGCACTACGGATCTAACATGAGTTATACATGGATAAGTCCTAGATTTTCTTGTATTTCAATTAAACGGGAAATGTCACTTTTCATTAATCAACAATAAAATTATTACTGCATATAATAGATGCAAAACAATTCCAATTCCGGAATGCTTTATTTCCTGTTATCATGACATTGCTTGTTGAGTGTACTAACAGTTAGAATAACTTCTTTGACAAATCGAAATTTCGTCACTAAGAGTGAAGAACCACAAACTGCAATACTAATTGACATAATTGACTAGTAATTACGTAACGTCATATGTTTTCAGAGAACACTCATACTTACATATATCACACACACCACAATAAGAGGGACTTTACACAGAACAATCTGTTCGGATCTATTAAATCCCTGCAAAGATGGGTCTAGGATGTGGATCGAAAACAGCGAAGGGGTTCCTATTCGTCTTCAACATATTATTCTTCGTGAGCATTATTTCTGTCTATTTCGATATATATATATGGGTATCACTGGTGATACATTCGAAAATGGCATCACATTTATAAATACATATTTATTTAGAAATGTTTCATGTAATGTAGACAGTATATCCACAGAGGTATTCCTGATTCTTGACATTCAATTAGTTTTAACGCTAAATTCTGTATAATTAGCTATAGAATTTAGATACATGCGTATAACGACATTTTGATCTTAGGATTTGTCTTTCTGGTTTAAGGAAATTATATATTTGAATTTGCAGCTTTTGGGTGCTACAGCTCTGGGACTTGGTATCTTTGTCCTTGTTGACAAGGCTCAGCTGACCTATCTCACTAAGCTTGGAGGAGTAAACCAGGTATTTAGACTGTTTTTGATGATTAATTTATCTGCTTAAAAACAATATTGCATTGATCATCTCAATACATGAAATAAAAATATATTTTACTTCTGAAAAAATATTGTTTCACTTTTCAAAAGAGCAAAACAACCGTGTCATACTTTTGAAATAAAAAACAACATGGTTTTTCATTTCAGAAAATATCATAATCAATATTCAATTACAATTCAAAATATAGTATATATTTTAGATGACCCATATATGTAGAAAAGAGTGTTCGATTTATATGCTATGAATAGTTCGAATAAGTGTTAATACGATCTTTGTAATACTAATGATGTGGTGCAATCCATGTAATAATGAGTTAACTGTCCACATATTTATTATGGGTTTACTACATGTTCTAAATCAACCCTCATATATTACGATTTTATTAAATGTTTTGAACCAGCTTTCGTGCACAGCGATTTAAATTCATGTTTTGTTCCACAGGTGGATGTTCCTGGATTACTCGAAACCTCCGCCTATGTTCTTATCGCTGGTGGGGGTCTGGTGTTCATCATTGGATTCCTGGGCTGTTGTGGCGCATGGAAAGAAGTTAGAGTTTTCCTCATAGTGGTAAGTTACTCAATACTTTTTGAATTCAGAAAAAGCAATATGGCCTGTCAACAGGAACACACCAGAGCCACAGAGATAATTTCTACTCTAGATTTTCCAAACCGATTTCCAATATCACTATAATCGAGTATTGTTTTTCCAGTATGCTATCATGGTGTTGCTGATTCTCCTGGCCGAGATAGGAGCTGGGGTAGTTGCCTTTTTATTCAGGGATAAAGTAAGTGAACTTAATACACTGCCTTCCATTTGTTTTGCAATTGCAACTTGATGTTTTTATTGGATAGCATATCCAAACATGTTAATGTTTGAATCTAACCTTAATGACAATAGATATTAATGGCAAATTGTAATACTATGTAACCTGTCGTTATACTTCAATTTGCATTTTAGGCGATAACAGAGTTGAAATCCTTCCTCAATGAGACCATCGTATACAAATACGAGGGGCAATTGACAACATCTGAACCGTTCTCTCTTGCCTGGGATCTTGCACACGTGACGGTAATGTTTTCCTTATAATGATATAATAATGATAATCATAATAATCATTCATCTAATTTTTCATTTGTTTTGAATAATCATTCATATATTTCTTTATTTTTTTGAATAATCATTCATCTATTTCTTATTTTGTTTTGAATATCAATTATCAATTTCTTCATTTGTTTTGAACAATCATTCATCTATTTCTTATTTTGTTTTGAATATCAATTATCCATTTCTTCATTTGTTTTGAATAATCATTCATTTATTTCTACGTTTGTTTTGAGTAGTGACTCATCTATTTCTTCATTTGTTTTGAATAATCATTTATCAATTTCTTCATTCCTTTCAGTTTGACTGCTGCGGGATTAACAACTCTACAGATTTCGATGTTGCTTCGGCATGGAACAGATCATATACATTGACTACGAATAACATCTCTAGCACTGTAAACATGGTGATCCCACCCTCTTGTTGTCGGTTTACCGACAAATCATTATACCCCAGCAATATCGGCTCGTTGACATTCGTCAATGACACATGTCCCATTGCACCAACAACATCCAATTCATGGCTAAACACGGTAGGAACCCTAACGTCTATTTTTCATAAAAATGTAAATGTACAAAAATAATATACAAGGCCGAGAATTAAACCATAACATTGTGATATATTTTGATTATATCCTTCCAGGGATGTTATCAAACCATTTATGACTTCGTCCTGCAGAATGCCTACATAATAATTGGCATAATATACAAGGCCGTGAATCAAACCATAACATCGTGATATATTCTGATTATATCCTTCCAGGGATGTTATCAAACCATTTATGACTTCGTCCTGCAGAATGCCTACATAATTATTGGCATTGGGATAGGAATAGGTGTTGTGGAGGTAAGTTCTATTTACATAATAATTGGCACTGGGATAGGAATAGGTGTTGTGGAGGTAAGTTATATTTACATAAGTATTGGCATTGGGATAGGAATAGGTGTTGTGGAGGTAAGTTCTATTTACATAATAATTGGCATTGGGATAGGAATAGGTGTTGTGGAGGTTAGTTCTATTTACATAGTTATTGGCACTGGGATAGGAATAGGTGTTGTGGAGGTAAGTTATATTTACATAATTATTGGCATTGGGATAGGAATAGGTGTTGTGGAGGTAAGTTCTATTCACATAATTATTGGCATTGGGATAGGAATAGGTGTTGTGGAGGTAAGTTCTATTTACATAATAATTGGCACTGGGATAGGAATAGGTGTTGTGGAGGTAAGTTATATTTACATAATTATTGGCATTGGGATAGGAATAGGTGTTGTGGAGGTAAGTTATATTTACATAATAATTGGCACTGGGATAGGAATAGGTGTTGTGGAGGTAAGTTATATTTACATAATTATTGGCATTGGGATAGGAATAGGTGTTGTGGAGGTAAGTTATATTTACATAATTATTGGCATTGGGATAGGAATAGGTGTTGTGGAGGTAAGTTCTATTTACATAATTATTGGCATTGGGATAGGAATAGGTGTTATGGAGGTAAGTTCTATTTACATAATTATTGGCATTGGGATAGGAATAGGTGTTATGGAGGTAAGTTCTATTTACATAATTATTGGCATTGGGATGGGAATAGGTCTTGTGGAGGTAAGTTCTATTTACATAATTATTGGCATTGGGATAGGAATAGGTGTTGTGGAGGTAAGTTCTATTTACATAATTATTGGCATTGGGATAGGAATAGGTGTTGTGGAGGTAAGTTCTATTTACATAATTATTGGCATTGGGATAGGTATCGGTGTTGTGGAGGTAAGTTCTATTTACATAATTAGAGAGATTTCGCACCTAGTGAAAGTACAACTTATAACGTATACTTATACTTATAGGTAAACGTACAAGGTGTTTCATAATGTGGGCATTTCGTCAGGAGAGATCTTCTCGGACTGTAATAAATACAGGTCAAAGGGATGCCATTTGTACTTTCTTGAATTGTAGCATGTTTAGTTGATCCAAATGTGTTTGTCTAGAATAAAATAGGCTCGTATATAGTACATTTGTTATAGACCCATCTCTTCTCAAATTGACTTTTTGGAGATGCTTGTTATGAAACACCCTGTATGTCATTTGTTGAGCTACTGAATGGGTCGTCTCCGGGAATTGCTAGAACCTACTGGTTTGATTCGTGTTTCAAATTGATGGTTAAAGTATTTGATTGGATACTGTTCCCACTCAGCCAATTAATTAAAAAAATGCTTGCGGTCAATTGTTCCACACACATGTAGGCAAATCTTTATACGGAGATCCAACTGTATACGTTATCATCTACGTAAATATACCGTTTTGTAAGTTCATTGAACTTATACTGATCATGAAAACATTGTAATAATCAACTTGTTTATGTAATGACTCACTTTAAAGAATCATGACTCACTTTAAAGGATCGTGTTTATAATACACTACAACTACAAGGACACGGAAGCAAGCATTTTATTATAATGTGCATAATCTACACGTGCAGATGACAGTGCATTCACAGGCTCTAGTTGATGGAGCTTTTCTATAACGGGAATAGTTATGTTCCATTAAGTACAATTTAAAATTGATTTTAGTAAATAAAATAGTTCGACATGACCCTTTAAACTATACGTATACGTATAAGTTGTACTTTCACTTATGTGCGAAATCTCTCTAATATTGGCATTGGGATAGGAATAGGTGTTGTGGAGGTAAGTTCTATTTTATTTTGACGAATAATTTAATATTTTAGTTGACGTAAACTTAGTCCTATTAGACATTCAAATAAAGATGTTGATGAATTGAGCAATCTTTACTTGTTCTCTTGACTGAAATCATTTCATGTTTTATGCACTACTGGCTTGCTTGCTTGCAGATATCAGTTGTATTCGCTGCTTGTTATTTATCGAAAGCTATTCACAATTCAGCAGAATTTGAAGTTACAAAAGTTACCAACTTTTGAGTTACATAATGAGGGTAGGGATTTATAACATAGGCATGGTTCAAACCTGAACGATTGACAAAATACCATTGGAAATGTCACACGCCACTTTATACTTCTTAATAGTTAGATATTCTTTAAATACCTTCTGCACCATTCACTTAATTAGCCATAAGGATCTATTTTGTAAAATTATACAATTCTAGACAACTCAAAATATCTTAACTTGTATTTTAGGATAATACATCTCTTCTCAATTTATCAGCTTTTGCACATTCCTTTACCCTCATTCTAGTTTGTTGGAGTCATATCAGCATTGTGCCTTGCTCATGCTATTAAAAAGGATAAAGACGAAGATTCAGTTACGGATCTCAGGAAGGCTGACCGTAGAGCGAGGCGACGGTAATTTTGAGTGAAACATGGATTGCTAAAATGTTGAAAAACGTGTATTAATAACAATGATTCATTAATACCCTGCTTTTGATTGCATGCACTAACCACAGTAATCACGTGATCACATTGGTCTCCACGGATTGGCTGCATGTGGTCACGTGATTCTAAAAGTGTTACACACATCAAATGTAAATGGGAGTTTAAACTTGCATATAAAATCGAAACGCCAACCTATACGTATGACAAATCGCCCATACAAATGCATCGCTTAAATATTTTCCGTTGACGTTTAGGTTGTGAGGAACATTGCAAGCTTAAACTCCCTGTATGTATACTTTTAAAACATGCTTATAACCAAAATCACATTGTTTTGCTGCTTAACAATAATTGGCTTTATCCCGTGGTGTTTGTCTGCATCATCCTCCAAATAACACGTCATGTCAGTCTTCTTTGTTTCTATTGCATCAAGTATGGTTTGATCAAGTGATGTAGCAACACAATGCTCAAATTTACGGACGTCTCTCAGTTCAACGTTCCAACAATGTGGACGTTTTATACTCTCTTCTATAAGTTTGGCAGTCAGAAGTTCATCCTAGACTTTGGATACACCAATCAATGTTTGGCTATTTGAAAAAGTCACATATGTTTCCAAACTTTAGATCAGGAACAATATTAAGATTCAGACAATGAGAGATTTGATATGCTAATCAATGGAAACTTCTGGTTGCCAAACTTATGGAGGGAAGTGTATATCACTACATGTACCAATAGTTTGATTCGTATATCACATCACAAATCTTATGGAGGGAAGTGTATGTCACTACATGTACCAATAGTTTGATTCGCATATCACATCACAAATCTTATGGAGGGAAGTGTATATCACTACATGTACAAATAGTTTGATTCGTATATCACATCACAAATTTTATGGAGGGAAGTGTATGTCACTACATGTACCAATAGTTTGATTCGTATATCACATCACAAATCTTATGGAGGGAAGTGTATGTCACTACATGTACCAATAGTTTGATTCGTATATCACATCACAAATCTTATGGAGGGAAGTGTATGTCACTACATGTACAAATAGTTTGATTCGTATATCACATCACAAATCTTATGGAGGGAAGTGTATATCACTACATGTACCAATAGTTTGATTCGTATATCACATCACAAATCTTATGGAGGGAAGTGTATGTCACTACATGTACCAATAGTTTGATTCGTATATCACATCACAAATCTTATGGAGGGAAGTGTATATCACTACATGTACCAATAGTTTGATTCGTATATCACATCACAAATCTTATGGAGGGAAGTGTATATCACTACATGTACCAATAGTTTGATTCGTATATCACATAACAAATCTTATGGAGGGAAGTGTATATCACTACATGTACCAATAGTTTGATTCGTATATCACATCACAAATCTTGATCTAATCTCTTCTAATAAAGAGATTTCGTTATAATTATAAGTGAATCGAAGTTTGTCGTTTCACAAAAATACTCGTATAAGTATAGAAACGTATATTTCATATGATTCCGTACCAATAATAATTTATTATCGAGATAAGTACTCGTACACTTATAAACAACAAACAATGGCTCCGTGGATGGATAGAGCTGCGCGACAAGTGATGACAAAGTACACACACATTCACTGGTGATCCACTCGATTACGCTGGTTACCGAAACGATTCGTTTTGGTAACAAAATGTCGGAACATCGAAGGTACGATTTTTCTTTTTTCCTTATTTCACACGTTGTAGGCAGAATTCCCACGACATTTTTAACACAAACGTGTATCAGTATCATATGTTTAAGAAAATGTACATATTTGCGAACAAATAGTTCAGAAGACAATAGAATCGTAGATTTAATTCCTCACTTAAGTTACATAAACGGTTTTTCGAAAAACAGTTAAGATCTGCACTTTTAACCCAAACCGTTTATGCAACTTACGTGAGGAATTAAGTCGACGATTCAGTTGTCTTCTTAGCTATTTTTTCGCAAACATGTACATTTTCTATAACATATGATGCTGATACACGTTTGTGAGAAAAAACGTCGTTGGGATTCTGCCTACAACGCGTGAAATAGGGAAAAAAGAAAAATCGTACCTTCGACGTTCCGACATGTTGTTACCAAAACGAACCGTTTCGGTAACCAGCGTAATCGAGCGGATCACCAGTGACCTTAAGCTTATAGACTATGTTATAAACATAAAATACGCTATAAGTGCGGTTGCGTAATCAATATATTGCTTTAAACCATTCAGTGTCAATGACTGTTGACGGATCAGTGTGAGATTCTGTAAATTATCTAGAAATATAGGGTGGTCCAAAAGTTGACAACGTATGAACCTCTTCTCTGTTGCAGATAGTGGGAATCGTCGCAGCATGTTGTTTAGCAAGAGCAATCAAACAAAAAGAAAACGACGTCGTATAAATCATTACGAATCGACATATTAGAAACACCACACAATTATTGGAAGATTTCTGGAGAGGACTAAAAGACAGGACTAAAAGGCATGAGAGTGACGTTATTATACAGTTAGCAAGTGTAACGCAGGCCTTGAGTTTATTGATTTTCTCCCTATATCATGACATGTATAATGTGAATAGTATCACGAACTACTTTTATTGGTGCCAAGAATAAAGAACGTTAATTACTAATTTACGTAACTAAAGAAGTCAAGAACAAAGTACTAATGTAAACAAGAACCATTCAAGAACTAAGTACTATTATATATTGATACCGGTACTAATGTACCAGGTCGTTTAATAAGTTCACGGAAATGCTCTCGTGTAAAAGATTTTTGATATTTTCTCATGAAAGGATTGGTATTGATATGATGAACTTTTTGAACACGCGTTTCTCTTAAACCAGTCACAGTCATAAAAAAATTCTGAAAATTTTACACATCGTCAATTTAATGGTCATATTTTGAATGGCAACAATATAATTTGAAAAAAATGTATATACTTTCCTCTATATTGTTTTAGACATTATACACCTCTTTTTCATGTTCTGAATGAAATGAAACATCTATCCGAGGCTCATTGGAACAAAACGATATAAATACAACGTGTTTAGGTCTCTCAATATTGTAATTTTTTGAATACTTTTTGTTAAATCAACCAAAATTTCCTTTTTATAACTATAATAATAATATTGAGAGGTCTAAAAAATGTTGTATATGGTATTTTGTTCCAACAAATAAAGACATTTTATTTCATTCGCAAGAATTGGTAGAATAGAACAATAAACAATTGCACTAAAAACAGTTAACAAAAGCAGTTATATAAAATAATATAAATAATTTTCGCATTAAATTGTTGTCAATCAGTCAACATTACATAAAGGACCGGTTTTTACAGAATGTTTTCAATAATTGGTTTAAGAGAAAAACATTGCTGAATTCAGTTCACCATATCGATACCTATCCTATTCACATAATGTATAAACAATTTTTCATTGATACTTAAAATTTGATTGGTCAAAAATAAAGGCCGTTGTCTTTCTAAATTACTCAAATTCAGATTCCGTTGTCATTGACGATATCGAAGACACTATATTTTGGCGAATCACGACCCTCATATGATACATTATCACAAGAACTTAATGCATGCACAGAATTAGCGACGATAAAATCCCATGAAATGAGGACCAAGTGAATAAACATTTGAAGCGACGGTTATGTCCGCCATTTGTGACAACGGTATCTGACTTTACCGTAGTCAGGGTATTCCGGTGTGATTCGGCCAAACTCTTTCTTTATGAACGGTCACATTGCTAATGTTGTACGGAAACCATTGCGCATAAGTAGCAAAATAGATGGCAACGCTGCCCCAAGTTTTTTTTAAATAGGATGAAGCATCAACTAAGATGTGCACTTTTTAGAACAATGTAACAACTTTCAGTCCAGATCACGGCTATTCAAACAAGTTTTCCAGATGGCTTCAGAGTACAGTAACGACAACGGGTTGAATGTGAGCGACTGTGATTTAAACATGAGTGAGAATATTTCGAACATCTTATAGGACAATATTTGTGACTTATATTTTAAGTTATTATACCATGTACACGTAGAAAGCGGAGAAGAGGAAATGCATGTGATACATTCATAAATTTCCTACTATTTCTGTTGTATTCTAATGAATAATATGACGTAAAAAATGCCCGCCTCCCTAAAAGTCAAGTTACCATAGTAAGCATTATTCTTGACCAATAAAATAAGAGATACTAATATTCAATGAATCAATTACAAAATATTTTTTACACATGTGAAAATTTCATGAGAAAATATCAAAAATCTTTCCGTAAATTTGTTGAACGACCTGGTATATGCTATAGCTATGTTAAGAAAGAGACATACTCATATGAAAATGTAAATAATTAATTAATTCCAGCGTATGCAAATCATTATTTTTGTACATTATATTTATGTGTACTCTGAAACATTTCATTGTAATATAACATTCAATATGCAATCTAGATTTTTCTGCTGTTTATTAAAGTTTGTTTTATATAAAAGCACCAAGGAAATGAATTATTTTTTCGATTTAGCGAAATATGCATGTACAGGCGCACAATCATCAAACAGCACTGTCCGATAAAAACTGCTGTATATTTCACTACACGATCAAGTAAACAATCGACAGATTGTAGCAAAACGAAGGCTCTATATTGTAAGTCCATCAACTAGCTTATTCTTGGTAGTATATTCAGCCAGTAGAATGTGTTTCACCTGATGTGGAATCATTGTTTTTAACCAATTTTAATGATACAGGTGTAGGAATCAATATCTGTGATTTTTTAAGTGATTTTTATCATTTTGTCATTAGATTTTATATAACAATCGAATGTACAAAAAGGAATCATTCGACCGTCGCGCAGCTTATTTTGCTAACCCCTTGGTTAACAAGATTCAATTTATTTCAGAATTCATCCCTTTAAAGGCTAAGATTATCAATGATCTCTATAGATATAGGTTTTTAATATCTTTTAATCGTGGAAAATTTCAAACAATTTCACACATGATTGCAATTGTTTATTGGGATTTAATATACGAAGACAGAGGTACCGATATGCTGCGGCAATATTAGAAATAAGCTGTTTGTCTTTCGTGTAATTGTGTTTATCTTCAAATGGGTCAAATATTATATGAACGAAGCCAAGGATATTATCTTTAACATTCATTAGAGCTTTCGAATCACATGTGGTATATGGGGCAGGGGCGGATCTGGGAACCAACAAGGGGTTGGGGCCCAAATTTCAGGTCTTCAAAAAAGGGGCCAAATTTTGAAATTTTGAGGCCCATTTTCTTCCAAATTAGGCCTAAGATTAAAAATAAGGTCAAGGCAATTCTTTCTCGAAATTTGCAATATCTGGTGGAGAAACGATTAACACTCTGCTCCTGAGATAGCTCCAAAAGAAAAAGTCACAACGATTCAGGTCAGAAGGACTTCCATTAGCACTTAGCCCTTGTATTGCACTGACTTGCAATATCTGAAACTTGGTCATGAGCCGACTTTGACCCACTTTGCAAATGGAAGGATTTCTGATCCAACCATGACCACAGTACATCTGAATGAATGACATATCATTGCAAAGATGAGGGGTGTGGCTTTATGGTACATTGATTGAATGAAATCGATGTAGTCATCACTGTTTTGTGATTTTACAAGATAACTGCTTGTTGCGTTTTTTTGACACGCCCTGTATATAAAAACGGCGCTAATATACCTATTTTATCATTGTCATTTTGTACAAGGATACTCACGTTCAAATACGACTCATAATAATTATACAGGGTAAGCCAAAAACGTAACACAAACAAATATATGATATTTATCAACTTTTTACAACCACTTCATACCTTTTTTTGGTACACATAACACAATAATTCAAAGCAATCTATTAAAGGTTAGAACTTTATTTTTCATCCCATTTTCTCATATTTAAGAATTGATTTACGGACTTGTTTCAGTACATGGTTGTAACATCTGCTGAAAACTTTTGGCAAAAAATTTATCTCGAAGTTCTTCTCTGGATGGAGTGAAGAGATGTTCGTCAAGGGGGGTGCTCGCATATGTTTCAAGTTCCACCATGTTAATAGCCCCATTTCTAATCTCATTCTCCAATCCGATTATAAAGATGTCAACGTCCCTCTTATTTTTCAGATGGTTTGCAATTCGAGTAGCTACACTTGCCCTGGCCGCCCTCCTTGTGAAACCATCAGTAAACACGACGAGGGCATTTTTGAATCGTTTCCTATCTCCATTTGCCTTCCTAAAGTATGTTTCATTCACAGCTTTGAACATACGATCGGTGCGTGATTTTCGGTCTCTTGGTTCTTCGAAAAAGGTATTAATAGTTGTCTTGATAGCTTCGTTGTCATAGTGATCATTCAAATAGAAACCATGCAAGGCATGTTTGTTGTACATGAGCATGCCGACTTGAGAGTCCTCTTTAGATATCGCCAACTCATCAATTAGATTATTCAAGAATTGGCGGACAGCATCTTGGTCTTCAAGAGAGACACTGAAACTTGTGTCACACGCGAATACGATATCTCTACCAATGGATACACAATCTAAAAAACAAATATAAGTTATCCTACACCCGGAACAAAAGATGAATTATTCATCTAGTTCGATATACTACTTCAATATACATATTTCATAAGGGTCGCTAGTCATTCAATATTTATTAATAGCATTCAAGATTACCGCGTGCACCACCATCACCGCCACCTGGTAGGTCTGGTAAACCGCCATCTGGTAGACCGCCATCAGGTAGACCGCCATCAGGTAGACCGCCATCTGGTAGACCGCCATCTGGAATAGCTGGAACAACCGTCCCATCAAGCTCATTTGTAGTACTAGTTGTAGTTTGTTCTTCGACTCTAACCGTAGTCATATCACTTATATAAGAGGACGTTTCTATTGTCGACTCAGTTGTGCCAGATGAGGCTTCGGTGGCCTCATTTGTGCCAGATGAGGCTTCGGTGGCCTCAGTTGTGCCAGATGAAGCTTCGGTGGCCTCATTTGTGCCAGATGAGGCTTCGGTGGCCTCAGTTGTGCCAGATGAGGTTTCGGTGGCATCATTTGTGCCAGATGAAGTTTCAGTAGTCGTCTCGGTTGAGGGTGATTCTGTAGACGTCGAAGTTACGCCAGCAGGAACAACAGCATTATCAATTTCTAAAATAATCGCAATCACTGCATAATCACCATTGCTTGCAATTCATTTGAAAAATGATGATGTATTATACATAATTATACATTACAGGGTGGTCTAATATACAATAAATGACCCAAGAGGACAATACTATTTGGTTATGATGAGCACAAAGTATCAGACAATACGTCGTAACAGAAACATAAGACGTAAAGAAAAAATGCTGGTTTGGATTTCAGATGTCATTGTTGCCCCTTGGTTTGATTATCTACTAGGTTGTAGTCCGCGGTTGTGCGTTTGGTTCCTACAAAAACAAACATATCGGGGTTTAATTTTAGATATTGGTTATAAAGATTGTTTTGATGTTCATGTAGGTATAGACATTTGAGGGCAGACAGTTCAACATATTTTTCAAGTATTAAGATCATATCACGCTCACCTCATTTATTTCAAAACGGTTAGATGCCATTTTGACTATTGGCTAATCAGTTTCACAGCGTACGCGCATTTCCTCAATATTCGTCGCCAAAAGTCCGATGCCATTCACTGCTACTCGTGCACTCGACCTTGAGTATATTATCATCATTTACTACACATGGAAACTGAGGTCAGCTATAGTATGCTATAATCTCGGCATTTTATCCAATATTGTTCCGTTTTAATATCTTGTACAAGCTTTACTGTGCTTGGTGTTCTATACTAAGACTATTGAGTTAGATGATTTGAGTTGCCGAAATGCAATGCAGTTTTTACAGTGTGGGTGACATATTTCATAAAAGTTGAATATCATCAATTCACGGTTTAATGTTAAGAAAAAATGATAATAATCATAATACGGAATTTTTAGTATTGCTAAAGTCCAAGGTTCAATAAAACAGCCAATGAAGACCTACCTTGGAATGCAAAATGTTCATATTGTAAGCTCATTGTTTCAGCCATCCAATCTTTATCTGCCACTTTATGTCTTTGGGAGTTTAATAACGTTATATATGACTCTTTGCTTATCCCAAGCGATCTCTTGTCAGGATTTGGAATCATATATCAGTGACACGATCAGAGGATTGACAGGTAGACAATGATACAATAGCATATTGTCAATATGTAATGGCGTGTTAATCCAAGGGACATGCAAAAAATTTGTAATCACGAAATTGACTGACACTTCAGATACTATTTTTTAATAACAAAAAAAAACATTTTTGTTTTTATTTTGAGTCTGCACACGATGAAATATGTCAATAGTTTTCATTGAATCTTACTTTATTCTATTATTTGACGGATTAGATGTTTGAATTTATGTATAATTATCATGCCTGATTGTTTATAATTTTTACTCATCATAGAAACACGTACAATGTTTAAGTACCATGCCAAACAAGTCATAGCAACAATTACAATGTTTTTAGCACCACCCCAAATAAATCAAGATTGAATTTTTTAATTTTAAAAAATTCATTCTCCATTAAACAGGATTCTCAATTCTCAAGGAAGGTTCTTTGATTTTATTCTTAGCTTAACCTAACCCATTTTATTCTGATTTACTTTTCACTATTAAGTGTAGGGAACCAGTTAGCACATTTGTATGTATAACTCACTCAGTTAATCAAATTAATTTGATCTATGTTCATTTCAAAACGCAAGCCTGAAATTAAAATTAAAAATTAAAATGTTTTAATACCTCCCCAAACAAATCAAAGCAATGTTTTTAGCACCACCACAAATGCATTATTTCAAAAATAGCCAGAGGACTTTTACAAACTGTCGAAGTTATCAATAAACAGTTTGAGCCAAAATAGGAAATACCTCAAGTTAACGATAAATATCATATGCTGTATGTTGAATCATGCCATGTGTTATATATAATTTTAAAGATTAAATACTTCCTAGCAATAAAGGATTTAAGCCCTGGACTCAGTGCATTGTTTGTCCGCAAACCTTTGCATGACCGCGATGATGGCAGGGATGTCATGAGCGACCAAAAAAGTATTTTATGTGGATTTCAAAATTGAGGAAAATTGAGGGAAATTTGAACTTTGGCAACTACATTTATATGATGATACATTTTTGAACTAACTATCAATTGTGTATTATTCTTAAATAAGTCTCTAATGATTCAGTCAAGCATATTGAGTGCAGCTGAGAAAAGCTGGGAAATTCGGGGATTTTAATTTTTTGTTTTATTTTTGGTCGTCATGACACTTCTGGTGTCTATATAAGCCTCTAACTCCACAGGAAAACAAAGATGTTTCAATTGGATGGAGCGATATTGTAATAAAATGATTTATGTTTAAAATAATATATAATACATGGCATGGTTTTATGAGTCATGTATCTTTAAACGTGGGTATTTTTTGGCCCGATATATGTGTACATGTATATCGGGTGTCTCAAAAATGTATCCAGAAGTATATCAACAGCACAGATAAACCAATCAATATTTTCAGACATATTTTGCATGGTCATATAGTCAAAACATGAAAGTTTTCTCCCCAATATACCATTTTTATTTCAGTCGTGCATTTTTTATGCTTTAACCCTTTACCTTTTATACCACATAATCAATATAACCTCATATTCACTATTCACCAGATTTGAAGGCCCATAGCTTTTTTCTCTGTGGCTATTTGAAGGACCCTTTTTATGCTAAACCCAAGCTAAGAGACCTAGAACAATTTAAGACCAGCATCCGAACAGAAATCAAATCATTCACCAGAAATATCAAATGTGATGAACAATGTAATAGTAAGGATGCAGACTGTCATCGAAATATGAAGTCACATTGATTATGTGGTGTAAAAAGTAAAGGGTTACAGTATCACAAAGGCAAAACTGAATTAAAAACTATGAACAGAGGAAAAACGTACATATTTTGACTACAAGACCATGCAAAACATTTTTCTATGCTGTTGATAGATTTTTGAGTACATTTTTGAGACACCCTATACAGGGCGTGTCAAAAAACGCAATAAGTAGTTATCTCGTAAAATCACAAAACTAGTGCGTTTTTTTGATACGCCCCGTATACCTACATATTCATGAAAATCATGAACAATATCTGACTTAGTAATGGAGGGGATGTTGTATTTTTAAATAATTAATCTGAAATTTAGTCACTTTTGTTCGCTACGCCTTATAATATCTTTAATTTATTTAAAAATCCATATTAGTCAGTAAATCAATGTTAATGTGTTTGTAATGTATATTGAAACAGATTTCGATTCTCTTCCTTTTGTAATTTTACAAATTTACATTAAAATGGTTGTATACAAACGCCAAATATTCACTTGCTTTTATTCACCAACACTATTACATGCTATATGGTGTAGTCAAATGAATAGGAATATAGTCAAAGCTGCAACAACATTAAGCGTATCGCCTGTATCTTACAAATGCTAAATTTAAAGTCCTCCTTTGAATTCGTTATTCAACTGTTGTTGTGTTCAGGGAATAGGGACACATGGTTGAAGAAGCTCTCGAAATCTCTGCGCAAATATCTTGTCAGTCAATTCAATTGCGCTGGGAACTCCGTTTTCGTCCACAGGCTGAATCAAATGATCTGTCACATTATCGCTCACAAGTACTCTCAATTCAGTAGTATTGTATCCCTTATTCGGGGTAAATCTATTTAGAAGTGCAACGCTGAATATTTCAAGTCCTCTCTCTTTAAGGTCGGTTGCCTTTTTTCTTGCCTTTAATGCATTCCTATAAGGAAATGTTGTACCATCTGAGAAAATAACTAACTGGTTTTTAAAGCCTTCTCTGTCTCCACCATCCGGCTTGAAAAAACTTTCGTCTACGGCTCTTAACATCCGGGCTGTTTGGGTTTTCCTAAATCTTTCCAAGGTGAAATGGCTGTTCAGCTGGTCAAGGAGGTCATTGTTGTTACTTGCCGAGTCCAGGAAGAATCCGGTCAAAGGGTTACTGCTGTACCTCAGGAAACCCATCCTTGTTCCTTCGTCACCAATAGTGAGTTCGGATATCAAGTTTCTAATGAACTCCCGGACCACATTGAGATCGTTTTCAGCTATACTTTTACTGTTATCTACAGCTATAACTATGTCAGTACCCTGGACGGAACAATCTGCAAGAACAGTAATCAGTCATCTTTGAACTTTCAGATTTTTAAAAAGGAAATACTGACGGGGTAAAATTAATGGTAAGAGCCCCAAAGATAATTGCGATTCCAATAATCGCTCAAATAATTAACTTTCATGATTCAAATTTAATTCACCGTTTGGTCCGCCGCCACCTCCGTCTGGCCCACCATCAGGTAAGTCCGTCGGTAGTTCGTTTCCGCCACCGCTGTCATCTTGAGCATCTGAAATGTAAGATCAAAGATATATTTAAATAAATCTAAATAATTACAATTATTGTATTTAGTGCATAGTTGAAATGGTATACAAGAAGTAAAAAACTATTTCACCCTCTGCAAAGTACTTACAAATGGCGTTTAGGGCATAGTTTCTCATGGTAAGTACAGTTCTTCTCGTAAACGATTTATCCGCCATTGAAAACAGAGTTCGTTCAGTGTAATTATTGATGAATGTGGCGGACTCTATTGTTTGCATGCCACGCCCTGCCACAAATGGGATAACTCCTTCAGCTCTGGACGCATCGTAAATGACTGCCATACAATCTCGCTCTGCATCGACATATTGCTAAATAAAAATCAACATTGAAATGTATTTGGTAGCTACGTGAAATGTTTTAAATATAGAGGGTAGCATCAATTTTCGATTTAATTTTAAATATATAAACAATTTTCATTAAGGTCATTTAAAGACATGAGTAATCGGTTTCTATTTCTGAGACATTCTTCTTTCAATTGACACTTGGAATCTCCTATTACATTCTATATTCAACTATACAAGGATTACACTTACTGGTGAAGCTAGCTCAACGATGTGTTTTCCTTTGGAAGCCTCTGGAAGTTCAGTTACGGACAATTTCTTGTACAAGCCGTCACCTAATACCTTGACTATCTAGACAAAATATGAACGTGCATATATTAATGCTTCTTTGAACATTTTTAACCTACCATGATATAAGTATTTTGTTGTAACCTACTATGATATAAGCGATTTATTTGAACCTACCATGATATAAGCGGTTAGTTTGAACCTACCATGATATAAGCGGTTAGTTTGAACCTACCATGATATAAGCGGTTAGTTTGAACCTACCATGATATAAGCTGTTTGTTTTAACTTACCATGACATAAATGTTTTGTTTTAACCTGCCATGATTAATAGTGCCATGGTTCGATGATTTTTGGTGAAAAATGATAATTTATGAAAGAATGAAGTGTTTCGAGATTGTTTGTGCAGCTAAAGAATGATCTATAGACAGTTAGGCATTTCATGGGTACTTAACTATATTTGGGTTGGTTTGAGTTTAGGCCAAACTTTTTTCTTGTGAATTCAACATTTCTAGATTTAAATGGTGACATTAATTGGGATCTATAGAATTTAGCCTCCAAAGAGTCGAGCAAATTTCTTTGTATTGATCACATTATTTTATTGGCAAAAATCATTGGACCAACGACACAACAATTGTTTGCATAATATTTAGCCAAAAGCTGACAAAATTAGTCAGTTTTCACTGGTTTTCTATCGTTAAACCTCTTAAATCAAAATTATAGATAAATTTTGGCTAATTAGATACCCTTTATGAAATTATTCCCAAGTGTAGCCTAAAGAATAAAATTCAGCCATTTATTTAGTTCGAATATTTTGACATCTCTCAGAAAAATTGGGCTGACCAATTCTAACATCTAAAAATGTTACAATATATCCCTAATCAATCAAAATATGTCAAAAATATCAATTTTTTCATGACAGTTTGCAGGTCTCCCAACAATGACATCTTAGGCAACTTTCCGATGGTCAATGCCAAAACAGTGCCTAATAATCGTCAAAACTCGTAATGTTGACGTCAAAAATCTTTATTGACCATCGTTTAATAAACATTTTACGTCATATATCCGCCGTTTTAGTAATTTCTAATGTTGCTAATTGAGACAATTCCAAAAACAATTGCTCTAATGCAATCCATTTGGGATAATATTGAAATCTTTGGATTTATTTAAAAAACGAGGATTTTCGGAACTTATCACCATATACCCCTTTCAAATCAAAAAATTGCATATATCTCCAATTGAGAAAAGAAGATATGACCGCTTTTTCCGCCTTCTATCCGAATTTTGAATATTTTTTGATAAAGGGTAGGTATCGATATGGTGAACTGAATTCAACAATGTTTTTTTCTTAAACCAATTATTGAAAACGTTCTGTAAAAAACACTGTCCTTTATGTATTGTTGACTATATATATTTCAAATTATAATGTTATACCATCCAACAGATGACCATTAAATTGACGATGTGCAAAATTTTCAGAATGTTTTGATAACTGGTTTAAGAGAAACGTGTGTTCAAAGATTTCACCATATCGATACCACTCTTTTCAAATTCAAGACCACCATCACAAAAATTCAAATATTTGAAGTGAACCGAATCATTTGGGGATACTTTTTTGTTAATTTATATATCCACAAGATAAACAAAATGAAATATAAAATCTGTACATTTTGACTGGTGACTGCACTGATAAATCTTGATTTCACCATCATCCCAATTTTAAATTAAGATTTCTTAAATTGAGGTTTTTTGTCTTCTACCTTTTTACTAGCACCCTCTGTGCTTCTACCATTCCACTAGCGCCCTCTGTGGAGTTATCCCGTATTGTTTTAACCTACCATGATATAAGCGGTTAGTTTTAACCTACCATGATATAAGTAGTTTGTTTTATGCCTTGGTCACATTTGCTCCGATTCATCAGCCGGCGCCCGGTCAATTGAGTATTCTGTTCAAAATTGAATATTATTGTGAACAGGATGATCAATCTGCTGGGCGCCGGCCGATGAATCGGAACAAATGTGACCCAGGCATAAACCTACCATGATGTAAGCGGTTAGTTTGAACCTACCATAATATAAGCGGTTTGTTTTAACCTACAGTACCATAGCAGTTAGTTTTAGCCTATCATGATATAAGCGGTAAGTTTTAAGCTACCATGATATACGCAGTTTGTTTGAACCTACCATGATATAAGCGGTTCCCTTCCGCGAGGCACGATAATACTCGAAGTGTGTGATGTTCCCTGTACATGGCAACTTATCAAGCAACAAGTGTGCCCAATTCCCCCCAACATCCTTATCAGAAAAGCTCTCTACATTATTAGCGGGGAATTTAGAGGTTGGACACTTATCTGAAAATATTATATACTTTATTGAGTCGAGTGGTATCGATATGGAGAACTTTTTGAACACACGTTTCTCTTAAACCACTCATAAAAAAAGATCTTAATATTTTACACATCGTCAATTTAATGGTCATCTTTTGAATGGTAACAATATAATTTGAAAAAGATATAATACTTTCATCTATATTGTTTTAGAAAACACATCAAACACTTCTCTCGTGCTTGGTATCATGTTTCCAGAGTGAAATGAAACATCTTTCTGAACCTCATTGGAACAAAACGACATAAACACAACATGTTTAGGTCTCTCAATATTGTAACTGTACAAAGGAAATTTTGGTTGATTTTAAAAAAGTATCTTGTTAATGAAACAAAAGGTTTATCTTGATTTTTATCTATTTTGGGGGGATTTTGTTTTAATTTTTTGAATACTTTTTTAAAATCAAACAAAAATTCCTTTGTATAACTATAATATTGAGAGGTCTAAAACTGAAAACATGTTGTATATGCTATTTTGTTCCAACAAGGTTCGGAAAGACATTTTATTTCGTTCTGAAGAATTGGTAGAAAGGAGCAAAAACAATTGCACTAAAAAAACAAAAAATGTTAACAAAAACAGTTATATAAAATATTTCTAAAAAATTTTCGCATTAAATTGTTGTCAATCAGTCAACATTACATAAAATACCGTGTTTTTTACAGAATGTTTTCAATTATTGGTGTAAGAGAAACACATTGTTGAATTCAGTTCTCCATATCGATACCACTCCTTTATAAATTATATATATCTACATATGTTTTATGGTATAATGAATAAATACTCACAATAAGGTAGACATTATATATAAGAATTAAAGCCACTCAAAACACCATGATTGTTATTATAGCCATTTTGTTTTTTACAACAGTTGAATAGTTATTTTCAGATTCAGTGAAAACGATTCGACATTTATTTCTAGTTGTCAGTTCTATTTTCTCTCCCGATGGGCGGATCTGGAAAAACCAACAAGAAGGGGGGGGGGAGCAAACTCCAGGTCCGATAAGTCAAACAGTTAAACAGTCAAAAAGTTATAGGTCTTAAAAGTTAAAATTATTTTTCAAAAACCTCTCCCATTGAAATAACATAAGAGGCGAAAAATGATTTTCAAAGATGACTTTGAAGCCCTGTAACTTTAGTATTCAAAGTATACTGAACACTTAGCGTAAAAAAGTTAGACAATTAAATTTTCTATATAAAAATATATTTTGGTGGAACTCTTACTGGATAGATATATTGAAATCAATTTTGCCCCAAACCACCATTTCCCATTGGTTTACATGGAAATTACGATTTTTAAAAATTCATCTTTATTATCACTATTCTATCTATAAATGTAATTGATGAAAAATGGGAACATTTGGGGATATTTGAAATGAAGTCAAGTTACATTTCTCTTAACAGTAAAAGTATTTTACTCACAGGCTAGGCGAATAAAAATGCAAACATAAAGAGGCTTTAACACGTAGTTCAATGAGGGTAAGCTAAGGTTGCCAAACTTGTGGAGGGGAGTGTATGTTTAACTATTCGATATCAATGCTATGTCTTTTAATTTAATTTTTTATTTAATGTTCTTTTAACTATTTAGCTTATATTGTATTCTTACCCAATGTTATCAAAGTGTGATATTTGAAACTTGTTTTGAAGTTTCAAAAAGTGAATTTATGTGAATTTATTTAAAACTAACTTCAAGGGGTCACATATATCTTTTAATAAACGACAATTTATACTAATGCAGAGCACCCATCCTCACATGTTTTTGACGAAGAAATTAAGAAAATCGGTTCATAAATAAGCGGGAAATGAACTTATCTATGCATGAAATTCGTTCAGAGAAAAACTGCATTTCAAAATTTTAGTTTTTATAGAAATCGATGGTACAATAATATCTAAAACACTTTTTATCCCATACTTGGACGTGTTACAGGTACATAAAGTCGGTTTGTAAAAACGTATATTTTCATCAGCGGGCAAATATAGCTTTACGTCCCGCTCCGAGCGGGCAGATATAGTATATCTGCCCGCTACGTCATAATCGCAGTTCGCATATTGGTTAAGAGGAGGAAAAACCCCATGATTCAATTGATGACATACGATTTCCTCCTTCGCGCACCTTCTTTCCCGGAAGTACTTACCCTCCATCTTGGTTTTCAAAGTTTTCAAATTGACGTAGTTTTAGACCAATCAACGATCGACTCGCTAAAATCCGGCAACGGCCAAGAATACAAAACTGGACATGAATATTCTAAAATAACTCCACGGTTGGTGACAAAGTTTCTTAACTGTGGCAAATTGAACAATGAACCAAATGACCAAGATTGGTATGGGATAAACAGATCATCCTATAGTCGGTTCAGGATATTTGGATTATCCCTTGGCCAATATAATACTAGTATATCTACCCTCGGGACCTACGGCCCTCGGGCAGATATAGTATATTGGCCTCGGGATAATCCCAATATCCTGAACCTCATACAGGATAATCTCTATATATTCTTCCATTTAACTTGGTTAAATATTCAACATTAGTTTATTTTTAAAGTTTAACATATTTAGAAAAAACTGAAAATTTTGTCAAAATGTTTTTGCCACCTGAGTGAGATACACTAAACATTGAAGTGGCACATCAGACATGGCCTTTTATCATTGAAGTAGTGTGTCCTTTGTCCAGTCTTTGCATTGGTGTTAAAAAGATAACATATTTTGTAATGTATGATGGAATATTTGATGATTAAAATATTCAACTTTAATTTGAAAAATGTCGAGGAATTTAAATATTTGAGAATGAAAAGCTGACAACATTTTTTCAAATTTTTTTTTCAAAAATCTCTAAAGTCTCTAAATCTTTTAAAGTCATGACAAGTAGTAAAAATATGATAAAAACATATTTTCGAACTCTACACTGGGACTTTAATGAAAAGTTGAAGTAGGTGGTTTTCCTGGAATTACGACACCCGCCCGCCCACCAAGCTGACGAGAATACGATACAAAGTCGTTGTAAAAATTAGGTTTAAACGATCGGATCATGATTATTTTTTTATCAAATAATTAATCTGATAAATTGTTAACGAATATATTAACGAACATGTTTATGAGGTTTCAGGAAGTTAAAAGAGCCATGATACATGTACTAAGTATTATGGGAGATGCGACTATGGAAGAAACCAAACTACAGTGCATTATTAACTGACCTGTATTTGTGCCAGGACCTTTTGGACGTAAAGGACCTCCTTTGATTGCGAAGGTTCGGGCAACTGCATTGATTTCTCCAAAGTCAAATGTCGTCTCACCCTTAGCCTAAATTGTTCATTACTCGTGTAATACCATGTGTACAATTGAACCTGAGAGAATCAGATGCGATCTTTACTACGTTTTATCTATTAATTTTGAGCTGAGAACTTGACTATTGGTATTTTGCTCATACCTTTGCGTCCATTATGTCTTCTACCGTCATGGGAGAGTTAAGGACAGAATCAAAATCAATCAGGTGAAACTGTGATCCAGGCTCATTTGATTTGGCATCGTTTATGTTGCGTATAGGCATCCTATCTCCGCGTTTCATGTGTAGTCCCATGAAGTCGCCCTTTCTTACATCAACCTGGTGGTATTTATAAACGGTATTTTTGTGAAGTTTAGAATGCATTACTTTTTCCGTTATATTTTTATTTTCAACGATTTGTATCACGGTAAGGCATATACATATATTTCTTTGTATGAGCTATGGATCTTTATAGTTAATTCATTCTAATTGAACCGCTTCGGCCGCATCATACAGTATCTTACCGGAGGCATGACTCTAACATCATTTTTTCCTGAAATCATTTCGCCATCGGGCCGGTATTGTGCTGCTAGTTCTGTCAAAGATATAAGTTCAAACATCTGATCCACCTGTGTTTGTCGCCATATAGCAGCATACACTGGGTCCCGTCGATAGCGGTCACGGTAATATTCCCATTTCTCAAGCTTGAAAGTCAACCAAACATTAAACTCTAGTTGTTTACCGATAGGGAGCGCAGTATTCGAAAATCATGAAGTTATTGGTTCACCGATTTTTTACTTGAGTTATGTCAGAAAATGTTGAAACTTCAGAATACAAAGCCATGTAAAAAGACGGTTGTATTCGTACTTCATGCAAGGATCTCGAAAGTCAATAGATCTAAATGAGGGAATACAAAATACATTTTAATATTTAGTTCTATCTGTTTTGCTGGTATACTGTACTACACCGTTGCTCGTAAATATGTAATATTTTATAGATATGAATTGTTTGATGGATTTTCTACAAATGATAACATTTTGTTGACAATTTGTAATATGTCCTCATTCCCTCATCAGTTTTGCAAAAATTGATTGGTATCAAGGAGGATTGGCTCCCAGAATGCAACACCGATATTCTGCAAAACAATCACCTAGCGATAGCTTTGTTGGAGAGTATCGGGTCATTCTCCATGCAGTCGTACAAATTATACAGACACGAATAGCAAATGACGCATGCGTGGAGATTGAAGAATATCGAGTTGGAACCCTGGCTTCCAATCCTCCTTGATTGGTATGATGAAGTTAAAACATTTATGGTTGATTAATCTTGCATCTACTCAGGTGACCCCATGACCTCGTGATATCGGTAATTTGAAAGAGGCGTCCAAATCTTAGTTGTAATCATTGGGTACATTTTATAAAAATCTAATTTTGAGTTGGAAGTGTTTTTAGAAGGCATGCCCCATAGATTAAGCGAAAAAGAGTATGGCAGGTCATAGAGATGGCGCTATCTTACATGAAACAATCTGCCATTGCCAGCACCCTAAGGGTGCGTCAGGAACTGCACAGGAATGTGACTCCTGGTCACAGCAATAGTAGCCCAAGAAAGAAAACCAAGAAAAGACCACAACCTGTTGCATTTATGTCATCGCTTATAGTCAACCAGTAGTCTACGAGATGAAAGGCCGTCTCACCTCAAAACCCGTGTTTCAGAGCTATTATAATATGTTTATGTTTCTTTATTTCCTCAGTTTAATTGGAGAGCAAAACAACATGTATATCACATTACAGAACACATATTACAGTAGAGTAATGCCTTGATCACATTTGCTCCAATTTTCACTACGGCGCCCGGCCGATTGAATATATATTATATTCAAAACTGAATACAATTTTGAACACCGGCCGATGAATCGGAGCACATGTGACCCAGGCATAAAGGGGTTATTAATATTTACATATTTACAAGTTAAATGACTCTAAATACATTTTGACATTACAATTCAAGCGTGCCTATTTGAAAATATATTTATACAGGGTGTTCACGAAGTAATGACACTATGTCTCCCATTTTGTCAGATTTTAAGGAATCTTGCTTAAATTTTCGGCGTGTCTTAAAAGTGTATTAATTGTGAATTTATTTGATAAGTCTTAAAGCTCATGACCTCCAAACAATGAAATAATGGTTGCCTTAGCAACTTGGTGACAGGTGCGCTGACACAGACATCAGTTTCTTCTCAATTTTGATGAAATGATGTATAATAATGGCATTTACATGATTTTGAGCTATGTATTCTCCATTAAACTTATGCCAGTTGGTTATTGAAAATATGTCCTGTATAGTAGTTACATTCATAGTATGGTTCATTCATAGTATGACATCATAACAGTCCTAGTTAAAAACATCATAATAGTCTGGGATCTCCATGAGTTGGAAAGTCCGCCAAAGTTAAAAACGTCATTGGAAAACAGGTTTTGTGGAAATAGGAAACTGGCTGCAGCGCAGCAACACCCATGTCATACTGCAATGTAGTCCATAGAGAATGGACAGAATACAGAGTAGTCCATGATTTATAAATGTAGACCTTGCTCATTATTCACCAAATGAAGTGAACTGCATTTCTATGCTGTTGGTCTCCTAAAGAGTCAACAGTTTCATTCCAATGAGAAAACTGTAAGAACAGCCAGGTTGAAACGAGATAAGATTGACCAAACAAATGTCTTCCAAAAATGTATGGCTAAACAACAATGAAAATGCATTGAAGACGATACAAATTACTTCGTAGTGAATATTGTATCCACTGGGCATGGATCAAGAGTGTTGGATATAATATTATATCGTTTGCAGAAGAGATATGCTCAGGATTGAAGATTCCTAATTAATGTGCAATGTGACGTCATATGTGCTGTGTCAAGGACCATGTTACCTAATCAAAATGTGTATGATAAAATTAACTATGTTCATTCTTGAGACATGACATTTGGTTTGTGCGATCAATATTACATGCCCGATAATATGTGCAAAATCTAGAAAGATTGGTTAAAAACTAGAAATGGGAGACCCAGTGTCATTACTTAGTGAGCACCCTGTATTGTAAAATGTATTTGCACATTCGATAACGAACATTTCATAAATGGTTTCATTGGCTACATCCAAAAAGCACCAAAACTTTGGACTTAATCTCTGGTGTCATATGACATCATGTGATGAAAGAAAATTTGTCCCCCACAAAGTTGATAATTGTGTTTGTTTCTGTCGTAGACAATTAGGGGAAAGAGACAATAAGGTCACTTACTGATGTGGTACTCCATAAAGGCGACCCTATTTATGTTTTGAGCAGTATTACAGAGTTTATTTGTAGCAGTACTGCCGAGGCTGCACCCCCTTGGTGATTTCCAAGCATATTTTCAGAGTAATTTGAACTTTTGGACCTACATCAAGTACCACATGCGAACAGAGTGTTTTTGGGCAAAATTTAACTGCAGAATTATCATGCTGTTGTACATGCTAGTGGCATTGTGTTGGATTACCTCTGGGCAGGCAATATGGAACAGCTACCATGGGTACAAAAGTTACTCAATCAGACTCCTGGAGAGCAAATGTAGGACGACCTTGACACGGAGATTCGTGACTTGGACCCCCAATTCAGACACGTCGCGCACTGCCCAGATTGAGGAATGGGGCATTATTTCAATAAGAAAGGTCGGATGTTTCATTCATAGCTGGTCCCGTGGGGTTGATGCTCTGATTTCAGCACAAGGAGGACATAACGCATATTAGTGCTTTCATCAGATAAAGGACACTTCCACCCTACATGACCAGAAGTTTACTAGTATCTTCTTTGATCTGTTTTACATGACGATTTGGATCGGGGTGTTTTGAAAATTCTTGTTTAAATAACAGTAGTTTTCTAAACTCAAATGTAAATATTTTTTCTCTAAAAATGCTGATGAAACAGATGAAATATGTGGTTATGATTTGTCTAGAAAATAAACTACTGAACAGACTCCAAATTAATATCCTCTTACTCCAAAACTTGAATTCTGAGCTGCCAAATCTACTATTCCATATTTATGAGCAACAGTGTATACTAATATAATTGATTAATTAATTTCAAAGGAAAAGCTTACATTTCATAATTCAAATATTATTGATTGTTCGTGATGCAAACGAACCGCAAGAACTTATTTTCCATGAACAGATATCACTCTGTCAATAATCCTTTGTTTTACATTACCTGTAATGAAGCTTTGTTGGTGTCCTTGAATTCTGTATGACATCTGTCTTCATTTATTGAACTAATTGCAAAAGACGACATACATTTTCTAGGTGGATCAAAGAAACATGTGAATATTGTTTTTAATGGGAGGAATGACTGTAATGTCATCTGTATTTGGGTCACCCTGTTAATAAATTGTTTGGTTTCTCCACCGTTGCGTTTTCAGATTCTATCCCGGCCCTCTAATCTTTTCCATATTACCGCGTTGGTATTAGGGGTACTTGCTGTTGAAGCTAGTCGTAGAGGTACCTTTTATGTATAAGCCTATCGAGAGCGGACCATTCGTATCAATCAAAGTCAAAGTAATCTGACAGCGTTGGGCAGATAGGCGAGGTTGGCATGATCTTTGAAACGTTTAGCCCATGCTGTCAAGATAACACCAAACCAAACATTGCGTCATTTTGAGCCTGTTCCTTTAGTTCCCCCGAGGACGTCTTCAGTTATTCAATGGTGTTTTAAATCATATTTAATCTTATTTCATAAAATTACAATACTTTGCCAAACATTTTCCAATCATGAGTTTCACTTCAGGGCTAATATAGATGTCAGCTATCTAGTATTTGCTAGTATATTGTTTTCAAACACATTTCAACACATTTGTGATTCTACAATGGTTGCAAAAACTATGCAGAATTAAAAAATTAAAAATACAAAATCATTTTTAAACAATAAACCAGAGATTAAAGCGGAGAGTAACCATAGTAACGTAATCAATACCGCGCTCCCAAATCGCACTTTTAAGAGCAAGCCACATTAAAACATAAATAAACACGATGATTCAAACTTACCTTCGTATCACATCCGAACCTTGCCGATGTTACAATGTTGGTCCAGTCACCTCCGAGGTGTATCATGCCACCTATTTTCGTGACATCCTCTCTCCCGATGTTCTCACATGACGCAACTCTGCCCGAATCTAATCCAAAATAACATTTAATCTAATCAGTCTTTGAAGGCTTTTTATGTCTCATATTTTATTATATACTAAATAAGCATTTGACAACATTTTGTTCAAGTCATTATTAAAACAGAATAAAAACTTACGCGTTCCTAGAACAAGTGCAAAATAACTTGCACTAATGCATGCTATAAATAAAACGTCCATGTTTGTTTATTGAAACTAATATAATTGTAACTCTCCAGAGCGATCGTATTGTTCTTCAATTTTCGTGTCCTTATATTTTAATATTGATTGATCTAGGAATGAATTAACCGTCGTATTCTAAACCTTCATTATCAGAGTTGAAGCGATTGCCATGACATTAAAACCATAAATATATAGCTTCGGTAGTTTGTGATTAATTAAATTCGATTCTTAAATTATTGTTTCGTCATGTTTATAGCTATTTTTACTTGTATTTAGTCAGTAAAGCATGGGGTCATTTGGCAAACATAATCGCTGCTGATAAACGCATTGAAACCCTTTATCCGCAACATGATAAACACGAGGATCGATATTTGAATTGTGAAACGTCTGACACGCAATTTGTATGCTTTTACAAAAATCAGACGGCTCACACATCGACTGGAACACAAACTAATAAAGATTATGACAAAAGTCAACAGGGAGTGGGAGAAACAATAGCACTAGCGATTGGTGTGATTAAAATTACGATCAAAAACTCCTGACACAAACTTAATTCAAGCAGTGTTAATTTTCTGTTGTACTATTTCTAAGGGATAACTACTTCATACTTTTAAGGGGCATAACTGGCGCTACCGGGTGTATTATTACGTCATTGACCTATAGAAATGGTCGGTCACCCAAGGATTCATTTGATACCCGGGGCTAAGTATGTGTACTAGACGAAACGAATCGAAACGACATCCGGGGCCTTGTATTGTCTACTATCCTTACTCGGTTTGTTTATTTCGCGGTAAACCGGCCTAAGTACACAGTTATATCCCTCCGCTAAATGGAGGGGACAAAAACTGTGAATATAGTTCCTGAAAGTACTCTGTAGCAGCGCCATCTTGATTGAAAATGTGGTAGTGAAACATGTTTAATTGTTGATATGTTAGGTATGTCTATAAAAACAATCATTAAAATGAACATTTTTAAGAATATCGGAACATTTTGACATGTACACGTTGACCAGATCCATACGCCAATTTCTAAGAAATTTGAATAGAAGGTGGGAACAGCAGGTCAGAACTTTTGATATCTTCGGATAGAATACTCCAATTGCAGGCATATAATGCTCAGAATAACATGTGAGCATAACAGGGAACGGTAAACTTAGTTTTTTGGATTATTTTCTGCGGACGGATGACCTTGGTAATGGTGAATTGGTCAATGTATATAAATATGATGACGGTGTGGTACTCCAAGTATGTAAGACAGCAGAACTTTTGATTTTCTTAGGATATTTTTGTTGAAATCTTTTTGACATGAAGGTGAGATGTGTTGCTGTGTTACTCTGAAATTCCTTGAAAATCGATGGGCTGCGATTTGAGAAATTCTAATTAAAATTTTTGAACTTTGTCAATTTAACTAAATGCATCTCAACGGTACAAAAATGTAAGAAGAGTTCTACCTAATAGAAACTACATTTGTCAATGAATTTCGAAAAATATATTGAATTTAGTCCCATTTCGTATGTCTTTGTGTTTTTGCAAATTGACCCCTTAACTCCCGGAGACGACAATCTGAATTCTGCCGATACAGCAATTTTCATTTTTCACTGAAAATTGTAGTTTTGAGCCTATATGACTTCATTACTTTTTTTTATAATTCACAGAATTTATTTTTACAAATACATATACAATACATAAACATTGTACACTTGTAGTGGCTTTGCTGAAGGCATTATCAGCCACTTGATTAATAAGGGTGAAGAAAAAATTAAAAATTAAATATGAACTCAAGAGTGAAGTGAGTGGTGGCAGAGAAACCTACACATTTGCACATTTATCTAAAAATCCGCATAAAGAAATACTTCTACTTTGTCCCTCTTGTGTTTAAAATAAGAATAACCAAAATTAAGAAAAGCCAAATTGTTTTCCAGCTCTTCTAAGAATGGAGCACGAAGTATACAGAAAAAATAACATGAATTGTTGTTTCATTCGCATGGCCACAAGAACATGCAGGTGAAGTAACGTTTGTAAAATTGTGGGAGTATAGATGTGACTTGAAAATTAAGTCACAACGAACCCTGTTAAGTATAATTTCTTGATTTCGAATAATTGAATTGGATTAACTCTTTCTTTGCCCTTGACTTAAATATACTTAAATTCTCAGCTTCTATAAGGGACTTTGAAAGGGAATCCCAATCCATCATTGATTGTAAAATACAGGATCTATGTGAAAATGAAGCAATTTTAGTTGGGATTTGAAAAGGAGCAATTCTTCGAACGTTAACTGTATAAAACAACGGAATCTTTGGAAAACATATGTTGGTACCAAATTATTCAGCGATCTAAACACAAGAATATTGCGGTGGTATTCCCGTTTTTCCCCTAATGATGTCCAATTTAAACAGTTCAAAACTTTAGTACACGATGTGCCATGAACGACTCCAGAGCATAAACAGTTGCCGTATAATAAAGCTGATCAATCAATTTTAATTTTGATAAGTTTGCACACGAGTAGAGAATATCACAATAGTCAAAAATCGGAAGTACAAATGGCTTGAAAATTAATTCCAAGTGTTTACCTCCTAATTTCTTTTGGAGTGATCTGAGCAGGTTTAATTGCTTTTCGACTTTTTTGTATAGTTCATTAATATGTTGTTCGAATGATAAATGTTTGTCAAGTGTTAAGCCGAGATGTTTGTGGTAGTCAACACGAGATAGATTGTTATTTCCAATAGTTAGATCTGGTACTTGTAGAACTACTTTACGAGGGTTAGAGAATAAAATGTCCTTACTTTTTCCAGCTTTGAAATTCAATTTCCACGAGTTCTTGACCAGTTGAAAATTGAATTCAAATCATTTTGTAAAATATTATTTCTTTCAAGTAAATTATCTTGGTTAAATGTGTGGTGAAGAAAAGTGTCATTTGCCTATATGTAACATTTACTGTGTAAGTTTTCAGGAACATCATTAATATAGACTAGGAACAGTAAAGGACGAAGAATTGATCCTCGAGGGACGCCTGAGTTGATATAATTCATATTTGAAAGGTTTGATTCTTGTCCATCAAGCCCTACTTTGACACGTCGAACTTTTAAAGAGATGCGATGGCCAATAATAGCAGGGCTAATAGTAATGAATGCGGCCGAAATATCTAAATAAATACCCCTAACAAACCACCGTTTCAATTTCATTAGTGATATAATCTATAATGCTTAGTATCTGAGATTGGGTACTATGGCCAGGAAGAAAACCGCTTTGTAGACTGTAAAATAGATCATTTCTGATGAGATGGTCAAATATTATTTTGAAGTTAATGCGTCCAGCTATTTTTGCCAAACAACAAAAAGAGTAATTGGGCGATAATTTTTTACATCAGTTTTATCAGAAAGAGCTGGCGCTGCCATTTTTAACATTCTGTTACTGATTTGATCAAGACCCGTGGCTTTGTTTATATTAAGAGAAAGTAACAATTCAAAGACTTCATCTTCATGAGTGGATAACATTAACAATAGTAGAAATTCGGTCCAAAAACACAGTACCACCACTTGATTTGACATGATATGATCTGGGAGATTCTGCTGATTTCACCACTTGAAACATAATATGGAGTTCTCCAATTTTCATTATCAGTTTTCACTCATACATCACATACATAGTAGTCTGGACAGAATTGATCAAGTGTCACGTTTAATGTCACTGTAATAACTTTTTAATTTTCAGTCAAAATCTGATTACATATTTCAGAACGCGAGTAGAAATAACAAAGTAGTAGAGTAGAGTAAAAAATATTTAAGGAACATCTCTTAATTTATTGATATTATAGGCGTTCATAGTATGAAAGAGGCAAATGCATAATTCACCATTTTGTCTCATATTCGTTCAAAAATGGCTGCTTGTTTTGTTAATTTGAATGTTCAGTTGAAAGTTAATATTTGGTAGAAATTCATGTAGAATCGCTGCTCTGGTAAAATTTCAAATTCAAATTTATTAGCTTTATTGTATTTCAATCCCCATCAGGGGTCATATACAAAGCATACAACTAACTACAAACTACTTAAGTACAAAAATGAAATATAAATGTGTAATGCCACTAGTATATGTGAATAAATACATACTAGTACCTGTATATATATGTGGCGTGTATCTGGTATGACGTAATGTGGAATGGCTGCATTTAAAACCTTTTGTTTTGAATTGACCCATACCGGTACTTAAAAAAGTTCATACATTGTATGTGCAGTATATTGATAAGGTTAAAGGACTTAACGTTTTATGGCCATTCCATTGTTACCCAAAGTTGATTAAAGTGGCCTAAAGTGCTGCTCATTTATTCGTGAAGCCACTCACGCCACTGCACGCAAAATTCGTAATTCATGGCTGAAATAATCGGGAAGACAAAAATATGTGAGATTCTTTACAGAATGGTTTTTAATAACTATTTACAAAAATGTTCCCGACACACAAATCCATTTAGGCAAGGCTTGTTTAAAAGTCGAAAAGCCCCAATTAGTCCATGGTATGAAATCTCTAGGACGTCTAATAAAGGAGTTGGTAGCACACTATAGCGCAGCGATATTTGACCTTACATCAACATACCTACATATGTCCCCTAATAATTTTTATTATAACCGTTCAATATACTTCCGGGTTTTAGGCTGAATTAAGCCTGCCATTAACAGAGGTCAAAAAATCACCAAAAAATAAAATCCCAATTTTTCACAATTCGGAGTACACACTGCAACAGAAAATAATACAAAATGATTTTAAATATATGATTTAGGTTTCTAAGCTAAGTTTAAGGTTATTTTTGTTATCAATACCCAAAAATATGTAATCAGTGTATCAACGTTTTGTATTGTTTCTCAGGTATTAATAAGATATATATGCTAGAAATGAATCACTTTTATATTGGAATGACAAATGTTTAAATTATGCTAGTTTTTCACAAAAAGGTGTCTCAATACGTTTTGAGATATGGACTTTCAGTGGTGAAAATTATTAATAAAGGCAGGCCTATTGCTCTTCCTTGACTAATTGGGACTACAGCTAAAATTCTATTTCCCGTAGTTACATATAGCTCTGTTGCTTATAAAACAGCCATCAATACTTGATTGAATTCATGAATAATTGAGAAAAATCGTTATCATTATCTTACTAAAATTTGATTGTATCCAGCGGTAAGGTCAAAGAACAAACAGCCATTAGAAAACTTGATGATAGCCACAAGTAACGTCGAGGAAGAATTTCAAGACGTTCGATTGCATATGACTCTAATTGATTATTAGACATGCCCTTGGAATATATGAACATTCCAATACCTCTGTAACATTTAATTAGATATAAATCTTACATATTTGTTATTGTATTATGTTTTGTAAAACATGAACAATAATTTGTTGTTAGACCCCTTGCGATTATATGGAGAAATTCTGGTAATAAAATGTTTTAAATGGTAAGAAAACTAATATGTTCCCAATCATAAATTACCTAGTAAATATTCCGCAAATTTTGTTGAATCGGCTTGGCTCATATTTTAAAAATCAAACAAAATCTGAAAAACACACTTGCATAATTACACTAATTAAACACCGACATCTACGGTAAAATTAAATAGTATATTTTTAAATTATGATAATTTATTTTTGTTCGTATGCTTAGAATAGCGGTCTTTGTCTTATAAAATGTAAAAAAGTTCGAATCAAAATATTTACGTTTTTTGACCCCTTGTTATGAAAGACATTTTTCGACCCGAAAGCCGGAAGTTTTTTCAGCAAATCGAATTTTAAAAGAATCAAGACATGTACACCTTTATAAATAATGCTTCAAATGTTGCTGCGCTATAGTGTGCTACGGATCCTTCATATGAGGTCGGAAGTCATACCATGGACTAAATAAGACAATACAAACACAGATAAAACCCGGAAGACTGCAGATCATGTAATGATTTACGTTCATGTAAACAAGTAAAGTGCATATGATCCCTATATAAAACTCTGGCCTACGTGACATGTAATAGCATGTTCAAGCTGAAATATAGAAAATTTTGAACATAGCATTTGCTTCCGTGTTCTCTATGCCCATCTACCTGCTTAATAAGGTAATGTATCTTCAAATAAAACCTTAGTCAAGAAGATTAGAGTCTCTGGAACACTTTTGTAAATAGTTTCCAAAAGCAGGCTTAGGCTTTGTTACGCTTAACAAACTTCCTAACGCTCTTTCACGCCGTGCGACAAACATCATGTCTTCTTCAGATAGGTCATGCTCTGGTGACCTGGTCCATCTGTAATTTCTGGATCTTGTTGTTCTGCCATCGTGTTCTCGAGTCAAAGATGCAATGGTTTTATGGATCTGCTGCATCTTTATATAGTCATTGGAAAAACATGGTAGACGTGTTTTCTACAATTTCCAATGGATAATTTAGGCGATATTGACGTTGATTCGGACGCTCTCGAACGGATTCTAGCTAAATGGGAGGACCAAAGCAAGGAATCCATCATTTCTGAGTTGTGCGAAGACTTTAGAGAAGCGGAGTTGGACGTTATACGACAAAGATTCTTTGATGTAAGTGTTACCGTTCTTACTGAAAAATGTGATTCACAATTTGGACCTATTGCACAAAGGAATAAGGATCAAATTCCATGTAGTCTGAAACTAATCCGTCGTAAGGATAAGGATACTAAACTCCGAAATATATGCGGGGATATTTACGATCTTCATGTTTATGTCTATGGAATAAGAGACGGTTATCCGAAATCTGTATTGGGCACAACGAGTTTCATACCTGATCTCAAAGTGGCTTCAAATGTGCAAAATCAAGATGTGGTAACATCCGCAAATGCAATCATCGAATTGAAACGTCAATTACGAGAGATGTCAGCTAAGCAAAGCGAGTGCGAGAAAGACTTGGCTGATTTTAAGAAGAAACACGATAGTGAAATTTCGAAGCTAAAGAAAGACATTTCGTTGTTAGAGGACATTGTACAGAGTTTATTATTTAGGGTCAACTGTACCATGGGCTTTCAACGAAAGCCCATGACTGTACCAAAGGGGAAATAGGTCAGGTCACGAAAAACAATTCGATTAGCAATATAACGCAAACAACGCAATCAACAACTTTGATATCCAAGGAAAATACGCCGTCTAATAATAAACTGATTAATAACTCTGACTCTCGTGATTGAAACAACATGCAATCAAGCAAAATCAGCTGATCAATGTAAACAGTCCGATGATAAACAAAAATCAGCTGTAAAATCGAATGATATGCAAAAGGAATTCTATCCAGCCTATCTTCAAGACAAGGATAAGGAATTCCCGCAACTGTCAACTAAGACAAACGTACCCACAATCACTCGCAGAATGTCGGAGCCTGTTAAGCCACAGGAAAACACGGGTTAGAACGTGGTCGCCAGTAAGAAAAAGGCGCCGGTTAAGATGGTTCCTTTTAACCATGCGATGAATTCAGTGGTGGTAAACATGTGAAATCGTTAACTCCACGACTTAAAGGTGTCGCTTTCGAGAAATCAAAAACCCTATACTTAGAAAACATATGTCAAGAGGATTCGGAGTCAGACACCGACACTATAAAAGTGGTTAAAGAATATGCAAATAGCAAGTTGATCAAAATCTCGCAGATATATGTAGTGCATAATAAAGTCACCAGCTACAGAGTTGGTTGTAAAATCACCGTTCCGATATCAATGGTGTCTAAAGCTATGGATGACGATACATGGCCCAGTCCATTTACATGCAGAGAATGGAAACCACGCCCTTATGTGGACAGGCGACCTGCTCCACCACCTCGACTACGATATAAGCGTCAAACTGAAGACCGTCGCGAGCCACGCCCTCCTCAGTTAGACCACGATGAGGACAGTATGTATGTTAACCGGACGCGTTCTAATCAGAGTTACCAAAGAGATGTGTATGAATATGACCATACAAGAGACCCACGCTTTGAATATAAGAATGAATCAAATGAAAATTACGACTGGTATGACAATCGTGGTTCTGTTTGGGATTAATATCGAACTCATCATTCTGATAAAGTCAAAATGTTCCATACCAAAGTGTACTGCTTTGCTTTTTTATTTCAGTGTGTAGTTATGACTGTGGTTAACGATTTAAAAGTTGCCTGTTGGAATCTTAGAGGCCTCAACACTTCAATTGAGCACCTTAGGTATATCATGAACGAGCACGATATTGTGGCCGTATCAGAACACAAGCTCTACGAATGCAATCTCAATAAATTGTGTAATGTATCGTCTGATTTTGAGTGTATTGGTAGAAGTAGTAGAATGCTTTGTAACTCTAATTGTGGTACTTTAACAGGGCATGGCGGTGTAGGTATCTTTTATAGAAAATCACTTGCTCACTATGTAATACCCATGTCCAAAATGTACACTGACAGAATCGTATGTATCAAAATCAAAGCTGACACACCTTTGTACATATTCTCGGTTTACCTGCCTCAGCAGCAATGCTCATTTGACACATACGATGATGTTCTAAACGAGTTATGCACCTTCATAACGCAGGTTGAGCAAAATGGTAAAATCATGATTGTTGGCGATATGAATGCTAATTTTGGTAGGTTGTTTGGCAATAACAGAAGTATGGGACATCATACTAACAATGGCCGTAAACTTTTTGAATTGTGTAAAGAAAAATCTCTTACTGCCGTCGATATTGTTAGTGGATCTGGCCCATGTTTCACGTTTGAAGATAATTTTGGTAACAGGTCCTACATAGACCACTGTATTCTCTCAATTGATGAGATTGATAATGTGTTAATCTGTAAAGTTATACCAGAGCATGCATCTAATTCGAGTGATCATCTCCATTTAAGTATTTCCATTAATATTAAAGGTCTCAAACATAGTTCAGTTATCAATGCTGATTGTATCAAATATGCATGGAATAAAGTGTCACCGGATCAGATTAAGGCTGGCTATACACATACGCTCACCCAGACTATCAATGAGATGATCCCTTATATAAGAATTAAACAATTAACTAATGATGAAATTGATTGTATGATCGATACACTTACTTCCAGTATGGTGAATATATCAGACTCGCATATACCGAAAAGGAAATTCTCAAAACACATAAAACCGTTCTGGAACGATTCTCTGGGAAGACTTGTTAAGGAACGCAATGCTGCTTGGCGGGAGTGGACACGCACAGGCCGCCCTAGGGACTCATCTGACCCCATTCACTGCGTGAAAAATGGAATTCCAAAACTTGACACGTCTAGATACGGCTCTTGACACGCCGCGTGTATAGGCGTTCCTAGTTTTGACACCTCTTGGCACGCGACGAATTCAACTCTTGACACGCCTTTACACCTCTTGGTACACACAGTGTATAGACGTGTAAAGACTGTAACAAAAGTCTTTGCACGCTTTGTGACTAATTATTGAAATCTCTTTGCACGCTCTTCGCACAACAGTACAATTTGCGATAACATACACTATGTAGAAACTTAATACATAACCAATGTACATTTATATCTTAGTTAAAATCCGCCATGACAGACCAACATATTCAATAATGTAACTCATATATAGTGTTCTAAGCATGAATTGAAACCTCAAGGCATAGTTGTATAACCTCAAGGCAGCATTCTCAAACTACAAGGCAGCATTCTCAAACTACAAGGCAGCATTCTCAAACCACAAGGCGGCACTTGCAAACTGTAATGTAACTCATATATAGTGTTCTAAGCATAAATTGAAACAGATTTATTGATTTAGTATTTCTAACTTCAATTTTTCTCCCAATTCATTTTTAGTTATCCCGAATTTCTCCCGATGTATTTGTAGAAATCCAGGTTTTCTCCCAATTATCCAAAATAAATCCAGATTTTCACACTGATTTTCTTTCAAATTATCCAGATTTCTCCTGACTTTAAAATAAAAATATCCCCATTTTAATAATTTTAAGTTGACAGGTATGCTTTTGTTAGGTTGTAATGACCTATTATCCACAGCATTTCTAAAATTTTGTAATTCGACATATTATTTTACTTTTTTAAATTAAAAACAAATATGCCCTTTTTGGAATGTTCAGGATTCACGATGGTCAGAACGAGATTGTATTTTTGATAATACAAATGTATTACCTGTAAGCAGGTTTCAACGGATTTTGATACACATTTTTGCCGTGTGTCCTATATTATGATATTATGATTACAACCAGCAGTTTCCTAGATAAACATGACAACCGGGAGATAGTCTTCGGGCTGACATCTCGAAGCTGTTGTTTATGACTTCAATACGGTACATCAATATTGATTTCCTCGCAAAGTATTCAAAAAACAATTCGTCTTTTGATAGGCTTTTTTCAGAAATTTTACACTTAGCTTACGTCATTTTAATTCATTCAAACCTAAGACTCGTGGAAATTATGTATGATTCAAATGATTTGATATGGTGATCAGAAGTGTGCATTAAACAAAATAGAAGTTCAAACAATACAAATCTGAAATTGATAGAGGGCATCGTCTGCCTCCCCAAGGCCAGTAACATATCTATGCAAATAAATAATAAATAAACAGTGTCCATCCACATGATAAATGGATATGGGTCCAAAGCTTGAAAAACTATTTCTAGACTACTCCAAGGTATATCTTCTGTAATCAAGGTGGTTCAGCAGTTATAAAAACAAGGAAGTATTTGGATTATAAGGAATTAATATTTTGTTTTCATTTGATAATATTCATAATTGGTTCATGGGCATTCCATGCTTTGTTTAACAAATTTGAGACCTTTGTCTCTGATTGTCAAAAGTGAGACCCCCCAAATTGTTCTTTTAAAAATGAACCCCCTCACACCCCAGACCGCATATATAATGTACATTTTGTATATTTTACAGATATCACATCCACCAGGATTCATTATAGCAAAATAATAGTTCACAAATGAATTCAGCTGTGGGGAACAGCAAAAGTACGGCTTGAGTGGGAGGGGGGTATGCCCGGGGGGGTATGTATGTACCAGGCAAATATAAGGGCTTTAACATGGGATTTAGGGGTAGGTACCCTGTACAAGTAGGGTTTTGAAGGGAGGTTGAAGGGGTATGTTACCTTCAAAAGTAGGATTTTAACGAGGGTCAAGGGGGTAGGCCCCGGTGTAGACACCCTGTAAAATGGGTCTTTAACAGGGGTTGGGGATTGATTGAAGATATCCTGGAAAAGCTTGGCTTTAACATGGCTTAGGATGTTAGTTAAAGTAGGGGCTTAATGTGGTCTTAAAAAGCTCCAACGTTCCTCTTAGGGTGGTTAGTCACACTTTTTTCTCTAAAACTCAATTGTATTGTTGTAGCCAGAATGTTTCGGGTCAAGAGACCAACTGCGAAAGAAAGTTATCAAAAGGATTAATGCAAATGCCTTTTATATGAACAAAATGTCAACTACGGGGGAGTTTCCTGCCCCTGCGATCTTATTTGTCCATTTAGGATAAGATAAACCATGTAACCAGGTCCATGTATTCCATTCTGACAGAATTTCAAAATCAATTTCAAATTAAGTTTATTATGTTCGAAATCCCGAATGTCCCCGGGAGAATCTCTCTTCGAAATTATAATGTCAGATAGATACAAAATAATATTGATATAACTAAAGATACTTACTTTGGCTCCCGTTTTAATTAGACGGATTGACGGAGTCAGAAAATCCGCCAAATTAAAATCCGTCAAATTTCAGTTTGGAATTTTTGTCAAATGCAATTCAGAAATTAAACTTCTGGGGCCCCCTTTCCTGTCAACTGAGCATGTCATCAACATGTCATACATTATCCCAAAAGAAATACAGAAAATATCTTAGTAAATACCCGTTCTAATGACATAAACCATGGGCTTTCAAGAGAATCTTTTGATAGCCCATGTATAAACCCCGGGGTATAAACATAGACAAAGATTAAACTTCAGTCCTGATTCCGCCAAATTAAATAGCCGCCAATATTTGAAATTGAGCAAATTCGTCAAATTAAGTAGCGTGAAAATAAGTGTATCTAAAGTATCTGTAAGGGGAGGGGGTGGCTCAAGGCATAAAG